CCCAAAAGTGACAGGAAGAAAATAGTATCCAGAAGTTGCCCGGGCCGAGCCAATCTCCTGACATGAACCCCATCGAAAACCTTTGGGACATACTCGACCAGCAAATCAAGAAACAACAACAACAACAAAAAAAAACAACAACTTCGAAGAGCGATCTACTCCAAGTTTTGAAGCAAGAGTGGGCAAAAATCCCACAATCTAAAATTGACGAGATGATTCTCACGATGCCCCAAAGGATCAACGAAAGGAAGATCTACTAGATATTAATTAAATTATAAATACATCAGTTCATGTGTATATGACTGAAAATTTTCATTTTTCCTGTAAAAGTGGTGTTTATTTACTTGTGACCACGCTGTGTATATATATATATATTTACTTAAAATGGGTTCTCGCCATCATGAATCCCCAAGAGAGGTTTACTGGAAATATTTTTTTAGAGTTGCTTCGTTAAAAATGTCGGTTGGAATGTCTAATATATCTACTTTTATAAATTTTATTGATAAATTGTATTGAATTTATTATTGTAATTATATTACTAAGTTTATCTTGTATTGTTAGCTTAGTATATAAATTTAGAAAACCATTCTTTATATTATTCATATACAAGTAAGATTTATTTTGTGTTAATTTCGTTGACAGTGTTGATAGGAATGTTTAATGGGTTTATTTTTATTATTTTATATTTATTACTTGACATTTACTACAAAGATTATTTTGTATTGTAGGCCTAGTAAATAGATTCAAAATTAAACTGAATCTCCTAAACTGGCTGAACCTTGTGAGATATTATTGGGTTTACGGTCGAAAATATCGTTAACAGCGACGGTGTGTAACCGATGAAACAATGCATTACTATCTTTAAAGATATATGGAAGCCAAAATGGTATGTTTCGGATGTTCTACTAGTTGCCAATATGATTTTTTTTCTTTTCTCTCTCGATTTGACCAGACAGCTTACTTTAAAGGGAATTTATCTGAATGATACTTATTTGGCAACACATATGTACAATTGAATTTAAGTATTTAATATAGTCCCTACGAATTCCTATATAATTGATGTTCTATGAATGGTATTAGCGTAAACTTGGGTGGAGTTAACTTATGTATTCTCTTACTTGATCACCAAGTGATCAATCTGAACTGAAATATTAGTACACTTTTGTTTTTGAAGTGAACACAGCAGCTATTAACCGTTATTTCTTCTTTAAACTATGCCTATCGAACGTTACTCAATCGTCTCACTTGTATAATTTCAACCAAAAAGGACACGCTAAAGAAGTCAGATCTTATCTGTTAATTCCAATGTTTTTATCCTCATTACTATTCTAGTACGATGTTTATTAAACTTGTTGTTACCTTTCACAATAATGTGCATTCTATTGTATAAACGACCGTAGATGAACCTTGATAAGTAGACGTTATTATGCTGTACGTTTCTAGCACATGTAAATTAAAATATTAAATTTCGCAATGTGTACCCGTGTTTTGCCCTACAAAAACATACAGGATTGCATGCCCTATTTACCAGCATACACCTGTCAAAACAGTCTTTCTCCATTTGTTTCAACGTGTGCAAGTCTGTATATAGTTGGAGATCTATGCCTTTACATTTTAACTAATATATTCCTGTGGCTAGCAATGTATATGTACCACAAGCTGTTGCAGGGTAGTAATGCATATGATCTTATAAGACCATTGTAATATACACAACCATGATTTACTGTTTTGGAGCCAATGAATTCAAACACAGAATAGCATATATTTTTTAATTCTTCAAAACATAAACCTGATTATGCACAAACACACACACATATATATATATATAAAAGGAAAATGAGATACACTATTATGTAAGAAAAAGGATAAAACTAGTATAGAAAGTAACTCGCTAAAAACATAAGAACCAGGGTAAAATCGCAAGTCAAATCAAGGATAAAGTTAAAGTAAACTGGTAATATAGAAACTACCTTTTACACAGGATTTTTGTTATTATTGTGTATATGGTAGAATGTAAACAACCCTTACGTTATTTCTTTTTTATGTTTTGTTATCGGTACACTAATTTAATAAATCGTGTTATAAACATGTTAAGTCATACTAAATTTAATTGTACTCCTCGGTGGCTCGGCAGTAAGTCTGAGTGTTATAACGCTAAATATTGAATTTTGATACCAGCGGTGGGCAAAGCCTAAATAGCTCATTGCGTAGCTTTGTGCTTGATAATACAACAAACAGATATCTTTATAATTCACCGATTTAAAGTTGTTTTTGTTTTGTTTTTGAAATTGAAGAATCTATCAGTATTGTGGACTTGGTGTGCCTTAAGCTGAAAAATATTGTTTATTATAACTACGTTTTCCAATAATTTGTGAACTTACCGAAATGTCAGTTTTAAATAAATGAATAAATAAATGTATAAACACCATCTTCATATCTAGCACTTATCATGTGAATCTTGATTGTAAATATATCTCACAATGTGCTAAAAACCAAAAGCATCTATGCTTCTAAAACTGGCTTGGCATGTTCTGGTGAAAGGCAGCTAGTCAACACCACCCACCGTCAACTCTTAGGCCTCTTTATCAACGGATAGTGGGACAGACTGTCACATTAAAACGCCTTAATGGGTAAAAGTTCAAGCATGTTTGGGTACATGTTTCGATCCCGCGACCCACAGATTGCGAGCCGAGTGTCCTAACCACCAGGACATGCTAGGCCCTTATGAACTGATAAAATCTTAAAAAAATGCAATGAAATTACATGAAACGTTTCTCATCAATATTTTATGTTCATCAACAGTAGTTAATTTTCTCTGATGAAACTGAATAGTATACCCTTAAGTTTGTTTGTTTGTTTTAGAACAGAGCCACATTGTGCTATCTGTCGTGTCCACTGCGGGGAATCGAACCCCCAATTATTATGTTGTAAGTCCGTAAATTTACCGCTGTCTCACCGGGAGACATCATCTTAAGAACTAAAGCAACAGAAAAAAACAACAAAGATGCTATGCAGGGCTAGCAGCATTAATTATTGCTAGCAGAAATACCCGCCCTCCGGGCAGGTAAAACTGCAAGTTCTTGCGGAAGGCTATTGGGCCTTCGGCCTTTTATGGAATTGTCTTACAGTTCTACAACAGTGTACTCATATTTGACATTCAGTAATGTTCACCACCGATGAGAAAAATGATTTTATTAAAATTTTGGTTTAAAAATAAGCAATCATCACAGCATTACACCACAGAGTAAATTTTATTGAAGTATTTCTTTGTAGACGCAGTTGTTATCAATGAAAGTGCCTTGCTTTTCTGTTGCAACACTCGTGAGATTTTCACTAATGAAAAACAAGTATTTTTTTTTAAGTTTGTTTTTGATTGTTATATATATCAAACTTAATCATTTTTTGTAATTTTTATTGGTTAAATCTGAAACATGTCACTTTTGTGGAAATTTCAACTGTTTTATTTATTTCTCAGCTTGAAAAATACTGCTTAGTTATAAAAATATTACCCGGTAATGATCGGTGCTGTAGTTTACGAGATCCGAGTTTTGGACGTATACATCGCAAGCTTCATTATAATAAGATATCAATTCAATGTTTCTCAATGTAAGTGACAGAGTATATTTTTGGTTCTTTGTTTAAAGTGTTTCTTTTTCGTTTTTTTTTTGTGTTTTGTTTTCTTTTGATTTGAGGGCCAATACTAACATTTATTTGTACACATATTTTCAGTTTCGTCTTTAATAATTCCTCACAAAAACGTTGATGTCACTATACCGCTTAACTACCCCGACCATGTACCATTTTACCAGCTGAGATGTGTTCAGGAAGATGGCAGTGCTGTTTCTTACGGAGAGGTAATGTACCGAATCAGGAAAGTATACGTTGAAGGCGGAGGAAGTAGGGTTGATGGATTTTTTATCGCCAACAGTTCATCTGGCCAGCTGGCTTTGGCTGCTCCGTTCCAGCACAGATGGATACAACCAGGTAGGTGGAATATACCACAAACACATCCATATCTGCTTGAAATAGTAGTAGCTAGGAAGCAGATGATACTACAGTGGCGAGGGAGGGGGGACTCGTGTTGAACAAACAGTTGATAAAATACACTTTAGCTAAGTGTTATAGACGATGCTATTACATATAGTCTGATACAACTAAACTTTGTTTAACAAGGAAAAAAAACAATTTACAGAGGCAAATCAGCCACGTTAAAATTTTGCGTAAATGCTCATATTATTAAAAAGTATAAGAACTTTACAGTGAAGATGAAATTTGATATTAACATAGAATATTTAATCATCTTATAAGATAATAAGAAATCATGTTATCTCGTAATTCCGCTATTTTCAAAAGTACACATTTCCTTACCCAAGAGCATATATTTGACACACGAAAAATTAAAAACTCACTTAGTAGAATAAAAAGCCTAACAACTTGACTTTATCGAACATCATTTTCATTTTACACGTAAAATACGCCCCAAATTAAAGGAAGATTCTAACTTATTACAACAAAATCATACGTATGTTACAAGAAACTTTCATCAGTTTATTTTTGTTTCAAAATTATTGTGCGAAGCTACACAAAGGCTATCTACTTTTGAATTGATAGATTAAAGAAAAGGCAATTAATAAACAACACTCATCACCAATTCTTAGACAACTAACGTCTGACCGAACAGCGGGATTTGATCGTTACGCTTTTAGCGTAAAAGAACGTTTCTGCAGGGCAAGTCGTAGCCCAGTGGTTATGCTGCTGGAATGTGAATACGAGTAGTCCAAGGATCGCGTCCTGTTGCTGCAAAATCGTACCAAATATTTGCGCAAGGCTACCCAAGGGTTATCTGCTTTAACTGTCCCTAATTTTGAGCTGACAGACTAGAAGGAAGGCAGCTAGTCAACAGTACACAACATCAAATCTTGAGCTACTCTGATGGAATAATGGGATTGATTTTCACTCTTATAATACAAAGCCTTAACGTTCAAATTTATTACACTTAATTAACCAAGAGTAACAATTTGTATCTTATGAAACCCGTTGCTACACTTTAGGCTGTTTATACTCTGCTCACAGCGGGTACCGAAACCCTATCTTTAGCGTTATAAGATCTCAGACTTACCGCTGATCTACCTGGGTGTTAAAGCAACGAGCTTATTTATCTCATATAAAATCGATATGCACTTTTGTTTTGGCTTGCGTTTCATGGCGTAATAATTCTCTGCTGTGAAATAGAAATGTTCCTGGAGAAAATAAGAGTTGGATTTTCATATACAATATGTATGATGCTTGTTAAAGTTAGAATGTTTTTTTTTCAGACCTGATAGTGCGTGGGTTCACGTTTTACATTTTATACAACACATAAAGAGCGGAAACGGCTATAGTTTTCTTCTTTTTTTTCAGTCCTCGGGGATGTTTTATAGATTATCTAATATAAAATAAAATTTGTAAATAGTTGTTTTTTTTAAATACGAAAATATACGTGTATTTTTTCCAAAAATACTGGAGAGGTTTCTTTGTTCTATTTTGGTTTCTTATCTCACTTTTTTTCTATTAATTTGATCTTAATAATTTTAATGGTTTGTTTTTAAACTTATCACATGTATATAAAATTTTATAATGCACAATTTAATTTGCCATTGAAGTAAACGCGGCCCCAAAATATCACAATCATAGAAACGATAGAAGCAATTGTTACTTTATTTGACAGTAGGTCATTATATATGTTATCCTAATACATCATGTAGAGCTTTATTAAATCAATGTGTGTTAGTGTGATACATGAGGAATAACACGCTAAAAGTCTAAAGTATTTCTTAAGTTTAAATGAATGACATTTTAAGGAAACATTTCGAAGTTTGGGTGGTAAGTGTAAAATGGAAATGACAACAAATTTAAAGTGTAATCTATTTTTTTACTATGCTAGAGCGATGGTTTTTACCTTATGATAGCATCTTGATTCTCAGGAGATTTTTCCAATTCAATAAAATAATTGTTTATATTCATGTTTCTATAAAATGACTGGTATGAGTGATGGGAGTTTTTCAAAACTGGCCGATATTACACTGAAGTTTAAATAATGAGCTTTGTGATTATATAATTCGATAACCTTTGGATTGTGAAATTCATTATATAAATTAGCTTTAATCTGGATCCTGCTAGAAGTATGTTTTTATTGAAAATGCGCTCGCAAACCGTACAACTTAAAATACAACTATTTATCATCTGTTTTGTTAAAATAATATAGATTTATTACACACTCGAACTTTTTGTTTAATTAAGTGTGACATTTTATGTATATATTTGTATTTATTTTATTTAGATACAATGTTTTCCCTGCGAGTGAAAGCGAGTATTAGATTAAACTCCGAGATTATATCTTCATCAGCTGTCATTAATGTTCACATCAGTGACATCAGAGACCCCTGTCGTCCACGACTTGAATTATGTTTTTATTCGTCAAACATGAAATTTGAGCTTCCAGAGTCTACCGCTGCGAGCACAAGTTTTGGTCAACTTCGTCCTATTAGTACGTCTTTCTTGTGTCCAGAAATCCAGACAGCATATGAAATGGAAAAAGGTAGATAGATTGATTTGACATTCTAACTATCTTAAAATGAACAGTTAATAAAAAATATCAAACGCAATTGCTATTTTCACAATTTCGAGTAAAAAATTGCTATATACAGGGTGACGTTGTTTCTTTCCAAAAGTTTGATGGAAGGGAATTTTTTACGTGACAAGGGAAGTGAAGCTATGAATCTAATATAATGAAGTTTCAGTCAAGCTCCTAATACAAAAGGAACCACGAAGTAGAGGATACATATATATATATACATCCATATATTGCATGTCTTGCAAGATTTCTAGAACAACTTGTCTCGCTTTCAAAAATCGTAGTTTAGAATATGTTTGAACTATGTAAAATGCAACATTCATTGCAGGTTTGGCAATAAGAAATATATATATAAAGAGTTTTGTATAATAAATACCTGGCAGTCTTTGCGGATGATTCGCTTCATGTAATGCACTATGAATGTGATCTAATCTACTACAAATTGTAACAACTGAATTAGCCAGCTGTCTACTGTGATAATTTTTCCACGCTGCATGATATTGTGCTTGTCTCGTGTAATCGTGATCAAATAGGATATCCTTTTTTTTTTCTCTCGTTGTTATGGGAACAACTAGTCCTAAGGGATGTTTTATCATCATAATCGTCTCGAAAGTGTAATTAAAACCAAAAGAAATAAACGGACGATAATTGTTATTTATGGTCGGTCATTAAATTTATGAGATGCTCAAGTGAAACAGAGATTTCACAGAATATGAATCAGTATAAATACCAGGTGTTGAATTAACACATCACAATACTGTGGTCCATATATTGAATGTAGGTAATTTAAAAAAGTTTACATAAGTATATTCTCACATTCCCAAGTAAGTTTCTGATGTTGAAAATGCTTTATTAATAATTCAGTAAGTAATAATCATTTATGCTTCAAAGCTGGTAACTTCAAGAAAACGACATTGTTGCTGATGATATCATACTTTTCCCGCCTGTTTCGTTAATAAATCAATGAATAAATCTATTAATTTAATTTGCAGAATTTTTAGTCTTGTTGTTAACTCTGGTAGATGTTTTGGATTATCATTCACTACCAAGTAATTTGAGCTTCACACCAAATTTAAGGCTGTCGCACCAATTGTATCAGTTATATATGTTCCTCAGTTGATAAAACCTACATATTTGCGACTTTATTATTATAATTGCTTTTCAGGGCAAGATTTGGTAAACATACACAATACACAAGGGAGCTTACAATTATTATCATCTTTGGATGCGGAAAAAAGAACGACGGAAGTAGTGGACGTTGGGTGTTATATTAAAGATTCACGTGGACATCCTCTACATACAAATGCTTTCAGCCTCTCAATAACGATTAGAGTAATTGATGTCAACGACAACGCTCCCTATCTACCAGCCGATGTCAGTACTATTCTTGAACTTTATGATACTGACTTACAGCTGGTAAGTTATAATAATTATTAGCTTCGTTTAATAATTATTTCCCTCCAATGGAGGCCTAAGGCCGCTTGGAGGGGCCACCTTTCTAACCACTCGAACCATTGTACAGCAGTGTGTTGTCTGTCAGTCAGTCAGTAGACACTAAAATGACATCACACAATGGACGCTTAACGTTACAATTTGTACTGTCGTGACGTTAGTCAAACACGATCATGCCATAAATCACGAGAATAATTATACACTCTGTAGGCTACAACACAGCATGACATATGAACGTCAAAAACAAGAAATAAAAATACTTGTTACTCTTAATTTTATTTTTTATTTATTCTTGAAAGAGAACACATTTTCGGGGATCCTGCATAAGTACATCTAATATATAAATATACATTTTGTAAATATTAGTATGAAATTCTTCTGTTTCGAAAATTATTCCTGAATCCTACGTAAAATTGTTTTGATTATATCACCTATCCCTAAATTACGTCTTTTACATCTATTTTCCAAAATTTACCTTCTGTTATTAAATTACGCCATCTGCTGATGTTGGAATGTTACACTCACGACTTTTCATTTTATCAGATTAACAGCTTAAAATATAATTAATAAATAAGCAAAAATACAAATATTCCATGAGTACGGGAGATACCAACTATTGAGGTGCTTAAACAAAAAGATTCTGTACACAGAACGTAACTCATGTGTTGGCAAAGGTTTCGAATGTTTTCACGATAGAGACCAAAAACTCACCCAACCCTGGCCTCACTAGGTGATGTTATTCTATAAAGTATCTTTTAAGCTCTTTGACTGTCAAAAAACCTTCAATAAAATATCAATATAATTTCACATTTTATTTCTATATTCAAATAACAACAAGAGGGAATCCTCAATAGCCGCGGCATTTGAAATTATTTTAGGCAGTATTAGAGTAAATTAATCAATGGGGGTTTATTTTAATTTTAATGCCTACATTTTTTATGCGCCAGCTATATCAAGCGTGGGGCGCGTGTATACACGATTCATTTTTGTTACTCATCAGGATTTCTACCAGCCTACCTAAAATTGAAATTCTTATAGGCAGGATTAGAATAAATTAATCTATGAGATATTGGGCGTGATCAAATACATTGATCGAAAGGGTTTGACTTCATGAGTTGAAAACTGTAATCAGATCTCAAGAGATGACGGAGCTATAAGCTAAAATTTTGTACTTGAAAAAAACTCTATGGAGCGGCTAAAAGTAAGGAGATGACATCTCCCCGCAACGCCAAACGATGTCATACTAGTCGCTTCATGAAGACCAAGACGAGTACTAGCTTCTAAGTTACGTAAGAAATTGTAGACCTCACAAATCAACGTAGAAACAGAACAAAATATACAAGTTCTATAGCAGACGTTTTAAACATTACACTCTGCATCCGATGACTGTACGAAATTTAATACAAGTACAACCAATAATAAGGCCGGGTGTGGCCTAGTTTAGCGCGCCCTGCCATTAAATCCAAGAGCTCGCGTTTCGCGTCCAGTTAACGCAAAAGAAACGCACTCTTTAGTAGCTTTGAGCAAAGATACCATCCAGTAATTTCTGGTGAACAGTTTTAGATGTATATAGTGGCGCACTGTTGTAAGACTTAAACTGTACTGTTACTATGTGACGCAAAGCAGTAATATAGCCTAGATACCAAAGTTCGTTTTCATTTAAAGTTTCAAAAAGAAAAGAAAAAGTGCATCTCTAAAATGTCCTTATTTGTCTTTTGACGAGTAAAGTTTCTCCGATTTCTGAGATTCGTTCAGCATTAGTTTTTTATTATTCACGGCGTTTCGTCGATTTTCTTAATGCGTGCAGTTCAACTGCGAACGGTTCTGTTTATACAAGTTGAAGCACATTTCATACAAAAGTTACATTTATCACACTTGATGACTAAAGAGCTGATATTCAGTTGTTCACTTTCAAGTGGATGTTTTAGCCGCAGAGGGTGTTGTTTTTGAAACCCAGCCTAACTATTCGTAACTTGTAAAGCCCTGTAGCTCTAAACTTAGTCACAATAACTTATTTCAATGAAATATATTCCCCTTGTTAATATGTGTTATTCCAACTGTTGCTTACAAAAGTGTAGGAGGCAAATTAAAAGTGGGGGCAAGGTTTATTTGACCGAGCGAAGCGATGGAATGTGCGGCACGGCACAATCATTACGGCGGGGATCCAGGGCTCGCCTTAAGGCCCTGGAAACTCTTAGGTTCTGGATTAACTTTTATGCATTTTCCTTGGAGTAATTTTCCTGATTTTGATGCATTTTTACATGGATAGATTGAAAAGTGTGGGGGAAGACTACCTACACCACTGGCTTACGTTAATGTAATTTTATATAAAGCTAAAAAAAATAATTATATGTATTGAAAGGGCGTGGAAGAATCGCTGTAAGAAAGGATTAAAACATTACAAAAAAAAACACACACATAAATAAGTAAAGCAGTGAGACAAGTTCATTAATTCTTCCACTGGCATGCAAGTTTAGGTTTTGTACCATCATGAATACAGCCTCAAACTACCCAAAATTTACCAGTTTCAAGCTTCAGATAACTAATGTAATATTAAAACATGTGCATTTGTGTTTACATTGTGTATCTAGAAATAAACCTGGCACTGAAAATGTTGTTCATCTATAACCGTGGCAGTGAAAAGGTTAAAAATATATTAAGATCACTTTTAGAACCGATTAATGAATAATATTTCTTATGCCTAGAAAGCCATAATCGATTAAACTAAAGTCAAAGTCGTGACGTTTACTTCCAAACACACATTTATTTGTCATTTAAGGTGAAGTGTCAATAGCAATGTAAATTTAGGCTAACGTATATGGACCGAATGTACTGGATATATCTCAAGTAATTGAACTCACATGCTTCTTATTTTTCTCTGAAGTATATGGAATAAGTTTCAAAAATAAGGTTCCGCCGTACTGTATGTTCGTGATACTACTCAACGTTTGTTAAATAGTCAATAACATATAATAAAAAAAGAGCAAGTAAATACTACGGAAAGCATTATAGTCTCACAGTTCATCGTTAGATTGTAGGTCTCAACTGAAACTTCTATAGACTGCATCTACCTGAGCAGACTAGGCGACGACAGCTCAATACGCATGCGCACATCTACAGTACAAACCCGTGTCACGAATTGTTCTCAGGTAAGAGAGGTTCATGGGAGCTAAAATGAATAATACAGTAAATTTGCTGTATCTTAAGGTTTGAGAAAAAGAAAAAAAACGACTTGAAATATTCAGTTTTTACTTGCAGATGAAGTATTAAATATAGAAGTCAAAGAAAATTCCTAGAAATATTTATTTTATAATCCTTGGCAAAGTTAAACGGCCGGTGTATTTAAAAACTCATTTGAAAAGTGACGGATAGTAAGATCGAAAGTCAGACGACTCGCAAAATACACCGAAACACCCAGTTTTTATTACGACGTAATTCCAAACCACGTGATATTTTCTCAAGATCGATCAGCAATAGATTTTGGAAACTACATTTCGAATGAGGCAGTTTGTTCTTATTTTGAAATTAAACGATTTTAAAACTATTAAACCCAAATACGTCGCATGGTGTAATGCTGAAGAACTTTCTACTGCAGTAAGCCGAGGGACGAAACCATCGATAACGAAACTCCCGGCGTACGAAATGATATACATTATTTTGCCTAACTATAAAGTAAAAGAGGATTACCATAGTAACCACACTACAGTGTCCAAGGTCTGACTTATTTTGAGAATATATTAAAGCTGATTTTAGAATAATCGAAATAACAACTTTTTATTAACACATTGCACATCCAGACACAGACAAAAATGCTGTTTACTGTAGATCACCCTTTATCATTTCACTGAAAGTATGTATAGCATATATCTAATTATTAGCTTAATATTTAATATGAAACGTGTAATATTTCATCCATATTTAACGCACAATATTTAATACTTGTGCATAATGTAATATACAATAATTGATGCATAACATAGCATGTTAATTAGGAAATGCAGGAATTTGAGCTGGGTAAATTTTTGTTGTCTTTTTTACGTATAATGCTACTTTTATCAATTAATTGGGCATGATTATTAGAACAACATTGAGGAGATTACTGAATGGTGCCAAATTACTCAAGCGTATAAGAGTAGTGGAAGTAATATTATTCAATCTTATTTACACTGAGTACTTGGTGTTAAAAGTTGTATAACAATTAGTAATCAAATTATAATATTAAAATAAATTAAATAAGATACACAATAATAAGTAAGCAAATATAATGGCTGATGCTGATCAATTGCTTCCCTGTAGCCAGAGATGATGTCACGCTATCTTCGCTTCACACTGATAAACGTGATGTGATGGGATTCCATTATTTGAAGGAGGAGTGCTTGTGTTTTGACTGGTACTAAACTCATCTAGCATCTAAATCATTAATCAAATAAAACCTAAATCTTTATAATGGTCTACAAGCTGTTATGAGAGATTTCTTTTCTTTTATTTAGCTCTATTACCACATTATTAAATATAGATTAATTACACTGTTACCAACTTCTAAGTTATAATGATAAGTACAATGCGCTATGTTTTTATTTTAAGTACAGTGCAGAGTTACCAACTATAAAGTTTTAGCCCAAATTATCATGTTTTAGTTTCAAGCATAGAATCACTATATGCCGTTGTACTACGTAAAGTGTTACAATGAGTTCGGTTATAAACTAAGCAAAGTGTCACTGTGTGTTGGTTATAGCTCTAGCGTTCAGTGTTAATTAGAGTTTCTGTGAGTTGAAATGTAAGTATCAGTTGAATTATCACTGATGTTAGAGTTAGCTCAGTTTCGTTTTAGTGTATATTCATGCATCAGTCTGAGATAGTGATAATCTATTGGTAAGATCAGTCCTACTGTTAACCGCCTTCACCTGGATCCTAGTTTTGTGCAATATTAATGCAGATTAATCTATGAATATTGGATCAATGGCCAACACATCTTAAATCTGCAAGCTGTACCAAATGGTGCCACACACATATTGGTTAGGTTCATAGATCATAAAGTGGAGAGGACATTTCGCCCCACTCTGTTACTAGGAGGTGGAAACAACATTGAGATATCTAATTACCTGTTACAAGTAGGGCTGATCGTCGTGAGGTCCTGCATCAGGGATGCTTATTGACGATGCATAAAAAGGCAACAAACTCTGCTAGTCTCACAGTATGATAGACTAGTGCAGTATAAAAAGGATAAGGTGAATTAGATACTGCCTTAAGAATATTTCTGAATCTTGTAACAACATACTTTTGCAAGAAAATAAACCATCAGATACTGAGAAATTTACTTTCACTGGGATGATCACTTCAGTTCGACACCACAGCAATATCCAATATGGATATTGTGACAGCTCTCAGTGGTACATTTACCAGTGCAAGCTATTAACCGTCCAAATAGTTTTCCCGAACTTACCTACTCAAATCTGAATCATCACTGTGTACACCGAAGGTAATACAGAACATCACGCTAAAGATTGGAGGTGCCTGACAGCGCTCTTGTGTATCTAATGTTAGACGAGTTCAGTATCGGACACCTCACCTGGGATGCAGGCATAAACGTTAATGGTAAAGGTTTACATTCTGTTCTCTACAGTATAGTCATAGCAACCAATCTTATACTGACAAACTCAGGTGAACCAACAAGAGGTGTGATTGAAGACTTGAAAACTAAGTGGCATCAAACAATCTAGAACCCTTTACAAGAAGTTCAAGCTTTATGGTAGTGCTTATACCCACATCCATCAACACACAAAGGCAATCAAATTTCTGAAAAGGGAACATGATTCTGATAAAGCCTGGGCAGTATTAAATGAAGCCCAGACTAATTGTTTTGTGTATAAGGCATGACCCAGAGGAGGCAAGGGTTGAGCATAATAGAGCCTTTGCTCTCTACAGGTGATCAAATTCTACCTGTATGTGACATTAAATGGATAAAACTAGGCAGCAAGCTCAATCTCATAAGCATTTTATTCTGGCATAGGAATCAAAACATTGCAAATTTAGTCATTTGTAATGATGACAGTACCTCACGCCAAACAGATAAAAACCAAAACAATACCTTCATAAACAGATATATTTTCGACGGAGCTTCTGGTCCAAATAATGTAAGTTTGTTTGTAGTTAAGCACAAAGCTACATAATGAGCTGTCTGTATCGAAACCCGTTTTCTAGTGTTGTAAGTCTACAGACATGCCGCTGTGCCACTGGGGGCGATAACGTAAGAACCTCCACTTTTAAGAAGCTTATAGAAACCAACTTATTAGAGATAGTGTTGGAGAATCAATATAGCTGGGCAAAAGATGGCATCTCTAAAATATGGACTGATACCTTTATCAAATCCTTATCTTTGTCTTAAAGCCCATCAAATCATTATCCTACAAAACATAATTAGCAAGATCCCACAAAAGGCTGTATATAGAATGATTGCCTATCAGACTGAACCACTACATTAGGAAGTTATAACAGTAAAATTGAAACCAAGATCAGCATTGCTAAATTTGTAGCTCATAAATGGAAAGGCTTTGAAGCTGGTTAGATCGAATTTACAATAATTTTAGATGTGAAAGATTTCTACAATAAGGTTTCGATTTCCATACTTGCTGACGAAATGCTTGGAATAGGCATCAGTGTAACATATGTAAAATGGGTGATAGCTGTACTAACTACAAGAATATGTATCATAAAGTATGTAAGCTGGTAATCAGACTGAACAATCGTTAGAATTGGTCTACTTCAAGGTTCACCACTCTCACCAGTTCTTTACAACATTACTCTCAACTTGACAGTCTGGTCAGGCGGATTGTGCTAACTGTTGATCAGTATGAGTGCTGCACAGCTAGATACTATATAGAATATACAAAACGTCTTTTAAGACTGGTCACGAGAGGTACTTCAACCACCTTCCATCAAAGCCCTATACACAGCACAGACCTCAGTAGCATCGCAGAACACCAACAGCTCTTACAATCAAAATTCTTTACTAGGGCCTTGCAAGGTAAAGATCATGCATTCCATCAGTGAGCCAGTTATCTCCCCCCCCCAACAACAACAACCAACCAAACAGGCGATTACTTAAATAGCACCTATAAGACGGTCATGGTCTTATAAGTGCTATATAGCTAGCCCCCACTGAGATAATTTGTCACCACTAGATCTCGTATTTTCCCACTGGGATCTGTGGAAAGCAGCCAAGGCAGAAAAGAAAGAGACTGGGTACAAGTTGAAGCAGAAAATCCTGTCAGTTCCTATTTAAAGACCAAGGTGAACAGTCACCTTTCATTATAACCACAGATGGTTCTTACATAAAAAATACAGAGAGAGCTGTTTGGCCATTTATTGTCTCGTGGAGCAACAACACTTTATATAAGGCTGGTAGAGCATTCAAGCTTCCCACAAGCAGCACAAGGATGGAGTTGAAAGCCATAAAACTAGCTCTCTTTTTTATTGATGAAAGCAACGAACTGCAAATAGACAGTGCCATTAACATAATATTTGCGAATGTTTTGTCCCAAGATGGATGGCAGAAAGCAAAACAACTGCATGGTTAGACCATCTCCTGGATGTATGTGACAGGCCATGAAGGAGTAAACGAGGAAGTTGACAAGAGTTTATCAAATTTAGCACAACTCTACTACCAGGATATCGACCTCCTCCACAATAGTGGCGACAACCATGGAAGGTCTTCATCAACATTCAGAGGGAATGAAAGCGATTGGAAACAAAATACTGTCTCCATAAAGGGTCAACGTTTGTCAGTTCAAACCCTGGGATTGTCACCCAGTACTCAACAATTCAACGGGGAGAAGATTAATAATAATAATGCACTTGCTAAACTCAAAACACATTATTTTTTTAAACAAAAGTTAATGATTTATAATAATTTAGTGTTTATCTTCAGCGTAGGATGATTCAAACTAATTGTTCTCTGTTTTTCAGAATAAACAGTGATTAAATTTACCAGACCTTAACGTAAAATAATGTAAAACAAATGATTAAATGAATGGGGTAGCAGAATTGGTGATGGTAGCAACAGAGATATATAGGGTGGCGGTCGCAAAAAATTATTGACTAAAAGTGTTTATTGTATTAAAAACAAATAACGCAGCGTAGAAATGAACTGTGCTGTAAGTAAATGTTTTAAAATAACTGAAGGAGCGTGGTGGTTGTTTTAACTTTAAAATATTGAGTAGAGATAGTTGTCGGGATGAAACAATAAATAACTGAGTGAAGATATTACAGAAGTTGTGCTAGTAAACCATTTTTAAAAAGGGTGATAATTGTAATTTTGATAATAGAAGACTAAGAAGTAGGTGTTAATTGTAGTAGTAATAACAAAAAGCTGGGCGATGCTAATACAAGATGGCCCAAAAAATGTACCCACATTTCGAATTCTCTTATGGCTATAGTAAATAAATCTACAACCCAGCAAAACACCTTTATTAATATTTCATACAACAAATTAACTGTATATAAACTGCTGCATAATTTGAGATGCTCAAACTCAGATCCACCAGCATTCAAACAATCATGATATCTACGACGGAGTGCCTGACATGCTGTTACACATTCAACTCTGATTCGAAGGAAAGCATTTGTGATCTGTCGCATTAATTAGTTCAATGGTTTTGGGTTTATTTTAAGACATCCTACAATATTATCTGAAATAATAATAAAACTTTTAGAATCGATTACAGAAGTTGCATAACTAAAAGGATGGGTACATTTTTTGGGGGGCCGCCATGAAGCTAACAATTAATGTACGTAAAATATTTGAGGAAGCCAAAAGGAAAAACATAGGCGTGAAGAATCCGTTACGTATACGATACTGCTATTTACCCACTGCACTGTTCCAGAAAATATTAATCAGATGTCATTTGATCTCCTGTTATTCTTTCTAATATTATTTTAATTTTTCGGTTTGATGCGTTTTCTTATATGATTTAACTTTTGGATCGTGTAGAAACTAGAATATACTAACCTGCTCTAACTGAAATCTCTAATATAACTTTCAGGGTCAGGATCTTCCAATACAATTCAATGCTTTCGACAAAGATTCTGCAACAGTAAATAACATCGTTGCTAGAGTGGAACAGGATCATCTAGGCTTATTCAGAGTCAGAAATACTACTTTTTACGACAACATTATGGACGGTGGAATGTTGTTCATATCTTGTATGTGAAAACGTTTTTTTTCTGTTTAATAAAATATAAAATGAAATACTATAACTTTTTACTATTACTATTAAAGATTTAATTTTTACTGAATTTTTGGCCATATACAAGAGCCTTCGTAGATAACTATCCATACACTGAATGATGTATTATAAGGTAATGTTCAAGCATTACATTCTTTTTGCTTCTACGCCAAATTCCGTCAAAGACTTCGATGTAGAAGCAGAAAGAACACACTACTTAAAAATTTTAGCGTGGTAAAATGTTTTATCGCATAGTTTAATTCAAATAAGGTTTTTGTCATTAATATTAGTAACTCACTAAGTTTATAGAACGTTCTCAGAAAAGTTACTTTCATTGTTGCAACGTTCGCTCGGCTAAGATGACAACGCCAAAATTTCAAATTGACATCAAGGTGTAATTAAGCTATTACCATTACATTTAATATATCTTTGATATTTTAGTTTTGAGTTTGTCAGAATGACATCCCGGGCATCGATTAGGGAGACGCGGTTTTGAGGTGAAACGTTGATATGCTCAACGGATAATAAAGATCAGTTCACTCCTTTTAGGATTTGAAAAAAACAACAACAGATGTTTCATGTAATTGGACTCACATAGAACGTTCAGATCGCTTTAATTACTAAAATGATATATATGTACAAATACATAACTTCTGACAATGAGTTGTCGCCATTCCATTGTTTGTAAATCTTGAATTACAAAATTCAAATTCTTTGTTTTTCTCATTTGACAAATTTTCCTAAATTGCTTTCCACTTTTTTAATCGCATTCAGAGACACAAATAATAAACTTTTTTTTATAACTTCTTATTGTAGTAGTTTATGTTGTTAAAATGGTAGTTAGAGCGTTAGCATTTTGGATCACTTGGCAGAGGTTCCCCGGCAGGTCGGCGGTAAGTTCAGGGTCATATAATTCGGGGTTCGAGTGTCTACGGTGGGATGGGAAAAGATAGCCCATTATGTAGAGTTGCACTGAAATACACGATAACAATTTTTGGTAAAATGCTCTTTTAGTAAGTGGGAACTACCGGGACGTGCGAAAATGCGATCTCTGTATTATTATTATTATTGTTATTATTATCATAGTAGTTGATACGATACGTATCTAGATATTGATGCCGCGATACGATACGTATCTAGATACAGAAGTTTTATCAACGGTTTGTTACAAAGTTTGACAGTCTTGTCTGTAATGTATTGTCTATATTACTAACATTGTCTTATTTAAGTACATCACACTTTACAGTGCTTTTTCAAATTTTCAGGTTTGATTAACTAAATGGCAGCTGGCAAGAAAAGTAAAATAGAAAAGTTAATATCTGTCTATCTATTTTGTTATTGTTAATTTGTTATGTTATTTTACATGTAATGTTTTTGATAAAAGAAATGAAGACAACATGTAGTACTCAATACTCATCTTATTTCATTGAATCGTTAATTTTTAGCAAAAATACTTTATTAGAAATTCTGATTTTTTTCTGTACAAAAGACTTATAATGTTTACTGAAAGCTTGCCAAATTTCGTTAAGACACATAAATCGTATTGTATCAGACAATGTATCGATACAAACATATCGCTGTATTGCCACACCTTTTGTTATGACCTTCCTTTGTCTTTAAATTCGTTTTGATCATTTGGAGTAATCTTAGATTATGTTCAGTTTTATGCTTATATTTAATTGAAGGATGTTGTCATAAATTATTCATTCCGTTTTCTTAGCGGTAACTATATAGCTACTAATGATCACATAAAAAAAAATCTAGTTGTAGAAACGGTAAAACCAATACAGTTTCCCGACAAAGAATACTGTTTCGTGGTGATACTCGAGGATAAGACACTGACGACAAGAGCTACAAGCAAAGTAAGCTTCTTCTTGTAATGTATATGTACATATAGATAGTGTAGTATAGTATAAAATAAAAGGAGATAAAATACAACCCGAATCAAGTGATAATGTTTACGAAACATAATTTAAGTTGATTAAACATAAATATAATTTAATCTCATGTGTTTCCATATATATATATATATATATATATATATATATATATTCTGAGTTCAAAATAATAATAATATGTTAGTAATGAATTCGGCTTTTTTGCTCAGAACTTTTGATATGCAGCATGAAATGAGTAACTTCACTTCTACATACATTAACTATAATTGCTGATTCAAAGCTCCGTGGTCGTGATCGTCTTTGTTTGTACGTAATTCGTTACAAGATAGTAAATACATTTGTACATAATTTTAAACAAATATGGGGATCATTATTTAGAAGCATATTATCCAGAAGCTTAAGTTGAATATTTTACTTGACATATGTGTACATAATTAAACAAGTGAAGGTCATTATTGAGAATTACATTATCTGCTAGGCTTAAGCTTGATGTATATGTACTTCTGAAAACAACGAACTGGTTTTGTTGTTGTTTTTTATTTGTAAAAACTAAAGACGGATATATGTAATATTTGTCCGAGAGTTTACAGAAAAGGTATGAATAAAAATGTTAATAACATTTCGTGTAATATAATAAGATATGTGTAGTATGCAATAATAATATATATAACATAATATATAGTATTATATAATAGAATATTCCGTAGTATATTATAAAATATATATTATGTAACATTCATTGTAATATTTAATAAAAATGTATAAATTTACTGCACGTAAAAATGCACGATTTTTTATCTTTTACAATAATATTTACAGGGCATTTAAACAGAAAAATAATGTGTACTTTGTAAACGTTGTTTAATTATACATTTTAGTTTCTTGAATTTATAACTATGTAAGTTCTAAGTGAGTACAGCATAATTTAGTTTGTTTAGGAAAATTTGATCTTGCTGGACAGCTAATTAAAATAAGAATATAAATTCTAATAATTATTAAAACGCGCTATAAGAAGAAGAGAAATTGGGTAATGTTTGACTAAAATATTCTTAAATTCTGACGTTTTTCGTTTTAAAAATAATGTGTCGTGATTTAGTTTGTTCAAGAAAATGTTATCTTGATCGATGATTGTTAAAACAAAATCAGTATTTTAATAACAAATATCAAAATGCGCTATAATTGAAAGATAAAATGGGTAACATTTGACTAATATTTGCTTGTAATTTCAAGTTGTTTGTGTGTGTGTGTGTGTGTGTCAAATGAAAAAAAGAAGTGCTTTGATATTTGGGATTATGTATGTTTCTGTTCCTAACTTTTACTTACGTACATCAATGTTATTGTTTGTATTAATGAAATATTGTGTAAAGCTCTGCGCAGGAACTCATCTGTTTCTGGGCAGTTAATGATGTTGTCATGGTTACTTTGGGCACGTATGTTGAATGCCAGGCTCATTAAGAGTTTTAATCTAGGATGGTAAAATTTACTATGTGGACACATGTTGCCAAGACACTTAAAAGCTTCTGCAGCTATAAATGAAGAGAGAGTAATATAATCGTTATTAATGGACAAGTCTTAGTTCGTATTTTTCTTCAGTTTTCATTGAAATTATTTCCACCGTATATTTAAGACGGAAAATGACTGTTATTTTATCTGATATAAATTTAAATTGCTGGCATTATTAAACTTTTAGATGAGTAAGAATTCAAGTAAACGGCTACTTATCTCTTACGTCATTGTTCTGAATTGATAACAACTGGTAGGTAGGCATATATCATGCAAACTCGAAAGCTTTTCATTCTAATCGGAAGAGATGCCATTTTGACAGGAACTTACAGCATTTTTAAAGTGTTGTTCAAATTAGATACACTCTATACTGAACATTATAAACAAAAAAGTTATGTTTTCTCATTATACTTTCATAGACAAAGCATTTTATTTTCCTCTCCGTCATCTAGGTAATATATAATGTTATTATTCGTAAACACGTGGACGGTTCGTCACAGATGTCCGTTGTCTCCAAGGGTGTCAGCAGCGCTTCAATTTCTCGACAAGCAACTCTTCATGCTAGGGTGAGAACAGAGAGAAGATATTTCTGATATTTAGAAAGTTATTTTTAACCTTAACATATGTTTATAATACTTTGTATTTTATCTTACGTGCGTTTTCCATCGATAACGGTAATTAATATTTGTTTCTATTATTTATTTATTATTTACATTAAGATATTTCAGTTTGGACTGAAGACTAAAAATCATTATAAAAAATATACCCACAAACTCCTGACGAACACTATTACCTAACACTCAACGCTTCACCTTCTGCCTTTTTCAAGAACTAAACGTCTTGTTCTTCGACTAAAGTTTGTGTTCTTAAGTTTATGATATTTGACACTATATTCAGATCTATTTAATACAACTAGAAAACTCAAATGATATGCATGTTTATTTTAAATCTTAGTATTGAGTAAAATGACTTCAACAAAGAAAACAAAGTTCCTTAACTATCTACAGAGATCCTTGTTTTTTGTCCATACTCTTTTCAACAGGTCACCCAACCTGTTGTAGTATCTGTCTCTGACCGATGGTTTTTTGCAATGTCGTCTGTAAATCAAAATGTTTTTGACGTCACACCACGAACTGGAATCATTTACGTTGCTAACGAAAAGGAGCTTCAGCAAACAAGTGCATCAAATATTCGACTCAACCTTTCATGGGCAAATGATACTGAAGAGAGAGGCTATTTAACAATAATTGTCAACTTAACTGATGAAGGTAAAGGTTTATTCCCCAATGGACCAGATTCAACAACTTAGTAAACACTATTTTAACCAATCAATGATATATAACGTACTGATGATTTTTTCATCCCAATCATCATATTAATATTTTAACTTCAAACACGATCTATGGTATAGTTTTGCTACAAACGCTATTAACCAGAAGGTTCACACTAAAGGAAGCAAAAACTCTATTATGAACATTTTAACTTCTTAAGAATTTGTTTGATACATCTTGACTGTTTCACGGAGGTTAGGTTTGTAGGTAAACATTCTTCATTTCTCCTTTTATGTGTGTGTGGTTGTCACCTTTCAGTCAAGTAGAATTTTGGTTGAATAAAAATTTAGGCATGAAGCTACACAATGAACTGTTTGTGCTGTGTCCACAACGTCTATCAATACCCCTGGTGGGCAGAGCACAGATAGCCCATTGTGTAGCTTTGTGCTTAACTTCAAACAAACAAACGAAACCACGATCTGAATAATGCCACTGATTTAAGCATAGTAGTAGTTTAGTGAAAAACGAATTCCATTTTGAATTTACGGAGACTGAGTCGTCTAACGATAGTTTAAATTATTTGATTATGAACTACGGAAAGATAATTTCACTTTTGAACAGTTGTAAAAATCCTCCAAGACAAAAAAGAAAGCTTCAAGAACCAAAAAAAAAGTTGTATAAATTATTTGTGAATATTTCATATAAAAAATGCTCAGAAAATTTAAAGTACAAGCACATCCAAAGAAGCATTTATATATAATGATTATAAAAAACGTGTGTGCGGAATTATATATGTGGCATTATTTGCAAACTAATCTACATTTATTAATTACAAAAATGTGCCTGAAGTACTTATAAAAGAGGTTCGAGTGTTTGCAAAAGAATCCATCTTTCCATTTAAGATCGTAAACTTTTATATCGAAATAGGAGCTTCTTATAATCGTACGTTAAATTATAAACCATATTAGATAACAGACCATTCCAAGCAGAGCCTTATGTTGCGTCGTAAAACCGTTAGCTTAGTGAAAAATAAACCAGGGAATATCACTGCAAAGCATTTCTGCAAATATAGTCCTCGTAAAAGCCACAGACTTTATTGGTTAGTTAAATATATATATATAGTAATCTGGAATTAAGTGAATAATCTGTGTACTTATGAAACCTAATAAAAATTACCGACAACTGATGAAAGTTTTAGCATTTTTTTCTCTTACTTTGGAGCACGGTAGAACATTTCAGTTGAACTTTATGAAAACGTTACTGAATCAGAGGGTCAAACGCCTATGATAAATTTTTATAGGATATCGGTTTGACATAAGAATAGGTGATTGGATAGTTCATACTATTACAAAGGAAAATATATAGATGTTGTCCAAAAGAATCACTCAAATGACGTCGTTTTTATCTCCAATGCGTGTTCTAAATTTTACCAGCAGATTTTCAAGCTGGAAAGTACAGTTCAGTAGAGGTACAACGCGTATATTTAGCGCAACAGCTGGTCAACAAAGCACAAACTACAGATGGTGTGAATCGCCCATGGAACGTCGGTTATCTGATATATGCATACAATAGTTTCTCTGTATTTTTAATTGCAATTCTTGCATATGGCATGCTTCTAATATTGTTTCCTTCATCGAGAAACTAATAACACAACTATAACCGTTAAGTATATTTGTTGTTAGGGAACAAAAGGAGTTTATTTTTTTTCGTTATTATTCAAGAAAGACTGGAATATCTCCACTGCACGGCATGTAATCTTATACGCTTGTTAGGATAAATATCGTAACAGAACTATAAATGATGACTATAAAAAAAGATTGATGTGATCAATTTTTAATATAAGAATACAATAATGTATTTTAACTTCTTTTTACAATTATTGTCAGAAATATAACCTTGTTACATTTTTTTGTGTTTGTTTTAGTTATTCTGAAGGACAACAGACAATGCGGTAAGTTTGTGAAAAGTCACTATAAAACTAAATTAGAAATTCTGACTGTGATTATTAATATTACTTTTCAAGCCACTCGAAGAGGTGGCGTGTTGTACTTACAGATTTGCATTATCCTAAAGTGAGTTCAATGTGTATTTTTCCACACTTCTTCAATTTGTACATTTCAGTCTCCTTGAGAATAAACACAGCCATTGAGGAATATATTGGTGTCATTTATTACTTAATAGGCTTAATACTTATTCGCTTGACATAACAAAGTAGTTTTAAGGATCAAGAATGGGAGAAGATGTGTACTGAAGAAAATTCCGTATCAGATATAATATATAAAACATATATATATATAGAGTAGCTATATACCAAGATGTTAATTTCGAGTAAATCTGTTATATTAATAATAAATTATGTATTATACTTATGGTAGTTTATTACTTTATATGTGAGAAACTTTGTTTTATAGAAGTTGTTTTATTACCATGGATATAAAGATAATATTTTAATCGCCAGTAGGAAAAAATATTAAACTGTAAAAGATAGAGATAGATATATATATATTTTGTAATTACAAATACAAGTGTTAGACTAATAACAAATCATGATAAGTTTTATCATTTTAGACAACATATGTGCATCATCAGAAGATAAAGAATATTGTGAGGGCTCATGTGGGCCAGGAACAGTGAGAGGGCGCTGTTCATGGAGGCCTGAAGTGAACAGTACAAGTTTCATAAGCACAGAGTACGCCACCTGTAGTGCAAATTTGAAAACTTGTCCAGATGGAGATTGTGATGAACTAGAGACGCTTGACAACTCTCTCTGCCCCCAGGACTGCGTCAGTAAGAACTAAATCAACTTTCCATCATTTTGTCTTAAAGTCTTTTATTATTTGTATACAAAATATGACCACCGATATCGAAAAGGTCTTTATTGCAAAAAAACGGTAGTTAAAATGTAGTTTGTTTATTTGAAAACCATAAGATCAACATATCTTTGATTTTGCACAAAATGCATAACAACTTCTTGGAAATTTTTAGGCATAAATTAAAATTCAACATAAATGCTATTCTTTAATTATATATTTTTCAAACTAATACAAATAGAAAGTGAAAATTTTGATTTATTGTTTGTCTTAGGATGCGTTCGGCCAAGAAACTGCTGAACAAACATTTTTTTTTTCAAACTGCTAATATCAAAATATTCATGCTATAGGAGCTGTTCTAGCAATTTGAATTTCAGAGTACGCAGAGTTTGGCTATAGGACAGAGGATAATTAAAGATTATTACTCCATTATGTTTCGGCTATCCGTGAAATGGTGCAATTTGATGCCTTTAAAGCTGTATTTAATCAGTTGATTGGGTTATGGATTACTATTTAACAGAGATGCTTATCAAACTTGCAAACCTTTAGCAACTTCTCTTTAAATACTAAAATAATTATACACATTAAATTTGTTTTTATATCAAAAATGCTAACTTTTATTGTTCACTTAACTTCATAATGGGTAATAAAAATTCAAGCTGGTTAAGTTGGTACACTTGGGAATGATTATTTATTCCCCAGCTCTGTTAAAAGAACAAAAAACTACCAAATATTAGGTGTTTGTGCAAATAACTTTTTAACAAATTAAAAAAAAACATATACCCGCGAAAAACGTTAACATATTTTTCAAGTGCACTAAACAGTCCTTAAATAAACTCATCAAATTTTAGTTAGTAAGATAAAACATATGTTTATTATAGTAATTTACCAGCAGATATACATCGAACAGATATAATCTTACTTCATCAAGGTAACTTTTGCTTAATATTGGAAGCATATCAATGTGAATAATGCTAAATATTATTAAGAAATACTACGATTGAAATACTAATTTTGTGAATGTGGACTGTTTTATTAAACCTTCTTAACCATAAATTTACCAAAGGAGTCCTCATGAACACCGTCGGCTTTTTAAACGCATTTATAAACTATTTATGCACCAAATTGTTTTTGGGTGCATGGTTTGGCTGGCTACAAAGTCACACAAAAAGTATCGTCAACATTGTAATTAATCCCACCGTTAGTGTCCTTATGTATTTTTGCATGGAAAGCGATGGAATCCAATTTTGTGGTCAGTTCTTTACAAAGTGTCTTGTAATAGCCATATCATAAACTTAATCAATATGATGCAATATTTAGACTCCACTAGAATTAAAAACAACAATTTGAGGGATAAGTTCCAAGCCACTCCTACAAGACTGCGTATTATTTATTCTATATGTTTTTTGGTTGTTAAGCACAAAGCTACACAATGTTCTATCGAGTATCAAAATTCAGGTTTTAGCTGTGTGAGCCTTCAGACTTACTGCTGAGCTACTGGGAAGGTGGGGGGGGGGGGTTGTTCAGTGTATATCCTCGAGACAGCAATCTGGAACTGAAACAGGGCCAAATGAATTAAAGCAAATTCCACCTGATAGCTGTACTTATGCAATATCTCAGATAGGGATCAAATGGGCGAATAGCTTTACCTTGGAAGCAAGTGAGGCCCTTTCCCATCTAGCTACGCCATTGATTTGGTATTTGATTATTATTGAAGATATAATCTGATGTTAAGTGTGGAGACTTTTGAGAAAGTCACGAGACGACTGTGTAAAAAATATATATGTATATACAATGTTATCAGTAGGTTCTATGAAAGAACAATTAATTTATTTTGATTATTTATTAGAACAAGAAAATGTCCAAGGAGAGGCTATTACTCACGATAAAGGAATTGGCATTCACAGAGCTATTGGAACTTGTACCTGTATAACGTATGACAGTTGTTACTGTTTACGTTCGGACCATCTGACGAATAATAAGAGCAAACAAGAAATAAATGACATATTTCACACTTCTGCGAAAAATATTGAAGATGAGACAACGACTTTTAACTCCAATTTTCGCACAGATGAAGTTTTCAAAAAGAAAGAACCTGGTGAGAATTTTACCAGTTGAAAATGTCAAAAAATGCGTACATAATTAACAAATAAAATGATTTTTTTTCTTTTATAGAAAATAAATGTTGACTGAAATTGAAAATCAAAACAGTTATTATATATGTTCTAGTTACAGCAAATATTCGCAAGGTGGCGGGCTTGTTGCAAGTTATGAGTAGCTTAGCCACAAGTTGGTGTAATATATGTATTGATTTTAAGTTGTTGTTTTTCTGAGTTGCATACACGTGAAAATAAAGTATTTAACGATGATTAAACTAATTTAATTAAGCTTACCAGCCTATAATAACTTTAAAAATGCCTTGAAAAATTTGTATGAATATGCATTCACATGTATAAAAATAAAAATTAACAAAGCAAAATTTAACAAATCAGACAATTTTAAAAATACTGTATAACAGTTTCTAAAGTTATAAAAAGTAGATAGGTAATGCTGTCCTTTTGTATTTTGACAGTTACGTCATGTGATGAGGGGTGTATGTTAGTCATTTGCCTGGTTGTTATCTGTGGATTTGGCGTGTGTGTCGTGATCTTCGTTTTCAGAAGGCTTCGACAGACTGCAAATAGGAAGAAAATACACAAGTATATCGGTAGCCCAATGTCACTAGCAGCTGAAACCACAGATTATTCCGACGAAAGGCCCGTCTACGATTCTCAAACCAACAGTGATACATCAAATACAAATAAAACAATGGTACACGCCCCTATTTTAGTATTTGCGACAGATATTTTGGTTAAATTTTTTTACTCGAAAAATTTTATTGTAGAGCTGAGGAACGAAGTGCTATTTAAGTGTTAATGTTAAACACCAGTATGCTCACTTAGCGTTGTAATGTACTTCATAATCAACTTGTTTATTTTTCATGATCTAGGTTCTTCAGAATATGGGTTTATTCAATCGTTAAATGATATTTCTTGACTACTTTATTCTATTCTCGAGGTTCATGTATATTTATAATTTTCAATATCTTCATATACGTATCCATATTGAATGTGAAGTAAACAAAAAATATCTTGGGAGAAATAATATTAGTGTAATAATACTATACATAATGAAACCACAAGATGTAATATTCTAAGTGCATTATGCTATACAACGCCGGTATCAGTCTTTTTTGCAAATGTTTGGTGAAACTAAGGCACCCGTTTGTCTGTAAATGTTACAATTAGAGCACTTAGTGTTTGTCTTTAATGTTAATTGAGATCAAAATATTGTATTTTCGTCTATAAACGTTAACACTGCTAGTGTTAAGTAACAATAAAGCACTTTATTATTGTCTGTCATTTTTAAATAAGTGATAACGCTCCATTCTCCTGTACATAATGTTAAGTGTTTGTGTCTTTGCTATTCAGCACAAAGCTACACAATGGGCTATCTGTGATGTGCCCACCACGGGTATCAAAATCCAGTTTTTAGCTTTATAAGTCTTGAGACTTACCGCTGGGGCACTGAGGTACAATGTTAAGTGAGTTTAAGCTAGTCTAGTGTTGTCTTTGGGACTAGTTCGGAATTAGATTGGTCAGCTTATTGTTGTAACGGTTTTTATTGTTAGGTGGATCTTTTGAATTATTCGGTAAAACGTAATTCAACGTCCAGTCTTACTAGTTAACTAATGCTCACTAATAGGCCTAAGTTCACAGTAGACGCTAATATAAAACATTCACTTATTTGTTAATTCTCTTATATTTTTATTTTTTAGTTGAAACACAAACTTACAGCCTAGAAATAACTAACTAGCTGACAGCAGCAATAAACTGAATAAATCATACATTGATTACTCGTTAACTAGCTATCAGAAATCACTGAAATAACAATTTCACTACTTCAGAATCAAGGTACTTCTTAATAGATCTAGTACTCAATAATAATTTAAACTAGCCCAAATTGTTCTAAAAGTTCAGAGAAAATACCAAATGTTAAGCAACGTCCATCACTCTACATCAAAGTTCTCTCTGGCCAATCAACAATAAACACGTCTAAGTTAAAAACGTAGCCTACAATACCGACCCATCTCTGGATTATGAAGTGCCTATAATAAAAATAAAATAATGGTAAATTTAACTTAAAGTTGCATAATTAACAATAAAGTAACTCTTGACATTACAACCATTAATTGAACGTGTGAAACAAAGTGTATTATAAATTTTGGTTAATAAAACGAAATATTGAAATCTTCATTCTTCACTTATTTTCTGTTTCTAAACTGTCTAGTCACGGAGTCTTTTTGGTGGTTTTCTTTTCCATGATTTATGCTATTTTGCCCCTGTTGGAATTTTCTTCAAGTAGATGGTTAATGAGAAAATCCGCTGATGACTCCATTCCTGGTATCACTTTGGAAGTGATCTTCACGGGAAACTCGGGCTCTTCAGCAGGTTCATTTATCTCTGGGAAAATCTTCTTTTAAGCTAACCAGCTGGTTGTTCTTTCATTTATCTTTTTCCTTAGATAATCATTGTAAACGTCCAATCCAAAGTGGTTTGAACAACATGCTAGTCCTGACTCTATAGACTACATCATTGATTCTTTTGACTACAGTATAGGGTTGTATCCAACATCTACTTAGCTTCCCAGTTTGTCCCTGATAAATATAGGTCCACCTTTCGAAGCTCTCGGATTAAGGTTTTTAAAATCTTTGTACTTCACTTTGGAGATAGTCCTCTCTTGTTGCATAGATTGTACAAGTCCTCACTGGCACAGCGGTATGTCTGCGAACTTACAACATTAGAAACCTGGTTTCGATATCCATGGTGGGCAGAGCACATATAGCCCATTGTGTAGCTTTGTGCTTAATGACTAACAAACAACTAGAGAGTGTAAGATTCTACTGATTGGTGTTCCTCAGTGTTTGAGTACAGAAGTTCCAATAGCATTTTCATTTCTCTTTCAAACATCAAGGATGCTGGTGTGTTGATTGTAGCTTCAGGTATTGCTGTTCTATAACTCATGAGTAAGAGTGAAAGATCTCGATCTCACGTTCTTTCATGGTCATCCACATAAATGGCTAATTGATTGAACCCTTTCTAGAGGGGTGTTACTGATATCCTTTGATTGTTTTCTTTCTCACGATATGCTACTTAACTCACAAACTAGCACCTAGTTTTGTCTGTAGCAAGCTAATTTAATTTGATACAATACTTTTATCATTTTGTAGGTTGCGAAGTTTAAAAATTATGTTGGGGTACACTGTTGTGAAAGAAACAAAAACACACAGTAGAAATACTTCCTTTCGTTTTAAAATTTCAATTTTTTTTAGTGTTGATCAAAATGTTCCATTTTATATAACCAGTCAGTTCAACCTCTTTCTTATATATAAACTTGTTTCTTTTGATGCTTTATTTTGCTGATTGCAGTAGTCACCACTGTCGGTTATAAATCATAAAAAGACGACAAAAACTGACAAAGATATATCAGTGATCTTGTACCTTACCTTTCAAAATGGACTCACCATTACCTTTATCAGTCTAGTTATTGTGACTGTTTGATAACAATATTCTTGGTTGAGATAAATTGGTACCCAGAAGCTATAGTTTATTTTCAATAATAATGATAATAAGTTATTTTATTTATGTGCGTTGTTTGAATATGATGAATTTAAAATATTCAATAAATAAGGATATAACTCTTTGTTTGCATGCTTGTCGTTAAACGCAAAGCTGCATAATGGACTGTATGTGCTCTGCCCTCCGCATGTATCGAAATCCGAATTTTAATGTTATAAGCCCTCTTCCGCCATTGAGCTACTGGGAGCGGATGTGAGTTATTGGAATACCTTGTAGTCGCCTAGCATACTCGCTTATCCTAACTAAGCTTTCCTAAAGTCTTGTTACAGAAGAAAATTTCTGCAGCTTTCAAACAGATCTAAATTAACCCAAAAATATTTTCAGGAATGATAATAACATTTTAAGATACTATAAAAACATCCCAGAGCTGTGGTTTATTCCTAAGACTTAGAAATGTTCCATTAGATTCCATTATTCGCTCCTACAGAATTTCAGGTAATTAATATTTCGAGAAAACACAAATTACAGAGGTTTGAGTGCGTCATATTAAAACGATTTCAAATGAGTAAATCACGAGACGACAACAGTGGTTGAACGAAATGCGTCAGAACAACCTTTTCACATTGTTTGTCGTTTCGGAGATAGTATGTCACTGAAAATGTATCGCTTTTCGGAAAAGTATGCATCAGCCCTTTACGACGCATCCGAGTGAAGTTCCATAAGCATCCCTAGTCTTCAAACAATTTAATTGACAAATTTTCTTGCAATAGTTTCTGCTTCCTTTTAGGACTAGCATACGCTTCTGGCTCTTTGGTAAAATATTACATTATCACTAAGATGTATTTCTTTCTACTGTTCTTTGAGGTAGAAGACCAAGCACATTGACAAAAATTATCTTAAATGGAGCTCCAACACAATATTGCTGTAGTTACTTGTGCTATTTCCTTCATGTAATAGCGCAGTTCACATGATTTAGACTAATTCTTTACAGATTTTTAGAATCCAATCCACTAGAAAAGTTCAGTTACCATCTCCTTTGTCTTAAAACTTAAATGAAATACCCAGCTGTTGGAAGGTTTTGGAGGTGGTGGAGCACTTCTGATTGTAGTAACTATGGAAGTATTAACATAATTTGAAATTTTCATCTCGTCAACTCTTCCCATTTTTGGCATAACAAGCCTTAATATAAGCATAACAAATCCAATTGTGCTCAGTACATCTTCGTCTTTGGACTGTATTGAGTCACTGTCTACCATGAGGATCATCCTTCATCTATTGAATAATTGTCTTAATACTAATATATTTTGTCTGGTTATATTTTAGCTGAGCGTTGGCTCATATTAGTTCTTCATCTTCTGTGAATAACTTTTCTTGAATTTTGCTCATTATATAGGTTATGCTATACATAAGCCAAATGGTATTACAACTAGTTGCTATATCTGTCTTCTATCAACTTGCTTCGTCGACTTGCTCTTACCAGTATCTACTCTTCAGACTCAACGTTTGAAACCATTTTGATCTGGATAAAACATCCAAAGTATAATCAATCCTTCTCGGTGAGGAGGCATCTTTCTTTATGGCTTCAATTATTTTCTGATACTCCATACTTATGGTGTTCTATTGTGTAAAAGATTACTTCCATCCAGAATTAATTCAGATTTCATGGTTTGTTGTGTTCATTGACCTAACAATGACATCTTGATTCTTCAACTCCACGACAGTTCTAACAACTAATAACCCTTCAGTATCATTTTTGGTTTGAATTTCGCGCAAAGCTACACGAGGGCTATCTGTGCTAGTCGTCCCTAATTTAGAAGTGAAAGACTAGAGGGCAGCTAGACATCACCACACACCGCTAACTCTTGGACTACTCTTTTACCAACGAATAGTGGGATTGACCGTCACATTATAACGCTTCCACAGCTGAAAGGGCGAGCATGTTTGGTTGGACGGGGATTCGAACCCGCGACCCTCAGATTGCGAGTCGAGCACCCTAACCACCACTTTCAGGATCATCTGGTGTGTTTGGTTTTACCACACCCCAGTCATTAGCTCTAAGTTTGTCCCTAATAAGTCTGGATATAAGTATTTCACTTTTTGGTTGTATAGTAACTGTCCCCTTTGTGCAATGGAAGTTCAACCTCTGATGTTGTAACTGTCTTGTGATGCACGGGGATTTTCTGGTCTTGGAAACAAGAACTGTTTAAAGAAACTTTTACCTCATACCCATGTCTCTGCATGAAGTTTATTCGAAATATGCACTCTTCTTCGATGTCAATTACTCATTAATCATGTTGTCTAAAAACACATGGCCTACAATATTATGTTCTAATCCTACATGTAAGAGCAACACCGTATCTACTTGTAGTAGTTTGCTCGATGGCGAGAACTAGCCAGAAGATAACAGAGTTATTACTATAAATTGATGTATGATAACTTATATAGTGTCTGATTGTATTTAGTATATTATTATTCGTATTGCAGTACGACACTAAGTGGGAATTTCCACGTGAAAACTTGATCTTTGAGGAAACATTGGGTGAAGGAGAATTTGGAAAAGTCATGAAAGCTAATGCCTGGAATCTTATTAGCGACCAGCAATACACCACCGTAGCTGTAAAGATGTTAAAAGGTAAGATATTCAAGCGATGTCATAAACACACAGTATCTAATGGTTTTCATATATTCTTAAATATTGCGGGGATTGAACATATATATATATATATAGATTGCCGTTCTTTTTGTAACAGAGGAAAAATATCAGCATATCGATTTATGAAAAATCTCGCACCTTTCAAAAAATTTCCCCATTTTTACATTAAAGTCTTATTATATATCAAAGTTATTGAGTTTCTACAGATAATATTAATACATGCCAAAAACTGCGCAACTAGCATGCAAAACTAATGCGTTTTTATTAAAAAGAGATAATTTACCACGTATCACGTCATAATTATTCTCGCCTCTACATGCCTGTATATTTCAGAACACTATTACGCAAAGACTTCGTCTTTTCCTCAATCATTACCATCGATCAATGCTATATAATCTGGTAAACTATAGATATACTAGTCTCCAAAGTCATATCTCCTGTACATTACACGGCTGAACTGCTTGGAATACAGGTATCAAGAAAGATACTGAAGTATATTTATAATTATAATTCTTTTATCTTATACCATTAGCACTTTCTTCGACTTATATCAAAAACTGATACATTTTATTCTAATGTTTTTTTCCGTTTTCTTTTTCAAAAATATTCAAAATCATGTTTTTGTTTTGTCACAAATTTATTAAATAGTTCTCATTGAAATGTTTCAGACAAGAGATAACTTCGTGCGATTAAATCATGAAACTGTCTACAAACCAATAACAAGAACAAAGTAAATGTAGGTTTACAAGTGAGGGTTTTCTTTAAATACCAACTTGTTTATCGCTCATTCGCTAACTTACTTGACTATCCGCTATCAGTAACATTAAATTCTTGGATCTTTTATTTTTTGGCATCCCTATATAAAACAACTTTAATACACTAACTTTATTATACTGAAAATAAAATAATTACTATAATGTATGTGTGTTTGATAGCAAACCCACATCAGGCTAACTGCTGTGTCCACCGAGGGTAATCGAAATGCTGATTTTAGCGTTGTAAATCCGTAGACTTACAGCTGTCCCACCGAGGGGACATTAATTATTGGACTATTATTCCAGTTATAATGTTTGGACTATTTCTGTTGTGTCCACGACGGATATCAAATCTAAATTTTAGTGTTATAAGACCTCAAGCTTATTGCTGATCCACCAGGGGGCACTTATAATGTATATTCTTCTTGTTAGTCTTTATAAAGTATTGGATTAGAAAGTATAATAGGTTTTACCAAAGCCGTCTACTTAGGAAATACCCCTTTTATTATGAATCTAATCATGCTTACCCTTTTCAAGAAAAAAAAACGTTCTTTTATAAAACTACATTACTAAACAAATATAACGCTATTTCTAGAAGTTTTTATCTGAATGATCGTAGGAAACGGAAAGATCAGCGAAGAACAAGCTCTCTTGACAGAATTCAACGTATTGAAAGAGATTTCTCATCCCAACGTGATCCGGTTACTTGGAGCATGTACCCAGAAAGGTAAGTTTTACACTGTTCATCCTGATGTGACCCAGATATCTGAAGCCTGCTCCAAAGGAGCTAATTTTTATGATATCGCTTGGAGAATCTGCCCAGAAAGTTATTTTTAAGCCACTCATCCTAGCATAATCCGGATATTTGAAGCCTGCTCCAATAATATGAGCTGGTTGTATGAAACTGTTTGTAGAAAGATAATATTAAGAAAGTCTCTCATCCTGTGTGAATTGAAGTATATACGAAGAAAGGTAGTATACAGAATGCCTTTCGTCATTTCTATCTAAAAAGGGACCATTTATAAATGTTATTTTGCTATGTATTAAGGTCTTTAAAACATCACTTAAAAATTCTGGGTTTCCAATATGGATAAAATAACAAACCTTTGTTAAAATATACGTTACTGTAGGGACGAGTATGCGGAGCTTTTAAGCACGACCTTCCTAAAACGTTCGATGTTTTTTGAATACAAATACGCAATTGTTGTTAGAATTTTGATCGGGCTGTCTGTAAGTTTGCTTTCTTTGTATATGTCTCCATAGAATTAAAGAATAAAGTTATTGAACAATGATAAATAAATAAATATATATATACGGTGAAATTGTTGAAGGTAAATCTGTATGTTACAATATATTTTTAACAGCATTTTCATTTCGTTAAACCGTTTTTCGGTATTGTGATGAAACAGTCGCATGATATTGAGCATAATGACATGATTCTAAGTAATTATATACCAATAATTTGCGTTTTAACCGTATTGAACATATCCATTCATTTCAGGAGGACCTTTGTACCTCATTGTAGAATACGCTGATCTCGGTTCTCTACGATCTTATCTTTGGAAACGTCGCCATCTTAACCTTGATTACTCTCCTCAAGTCGGGAATCCAATTTATTTATCTGATGATGGCGACATTACTCAACCAGACATGACTCCAAGAGAACTGCTGTCTTTTGCATGGCAGATCGCCAACGGAATGTCCTACCTAAGTGATATGAAGGTTTGTTATATATTAATGTTAGCTCAAGTTATACTGAGAATATAGTCTTTTGTCTTGTATTATTAAGGAGTATGATACTTTATCTATTTATTCGGGTTTAGATATTAATAGCTTAAAAACTCAATTTTTCGATAGATAAAATGAAAATATTCAAATATCGATTTGTACTAGGCAATTCGATTTGTTGATTGTAGTAATTTGATAAAAGATTTACAATTTTACTTTTACATATCTCTCTTCTACAACCTACGTTTTTTTACGGTATCAACTACCAACTGAATCCAACTGACCCATCTCTCAAGATTTCACATCTTACGCTTAATATGCAGATTTGATTTGTGCTTATTATTTGGTTAATTTCATACATTATTTTTGGTTATTGATGCTCAACACAAATTACAAACTACCAATTTTGGGAAAGGATTTGCATTTAACCTTCTAAGTAGAGATTTTTTTTTGACAACTTCAAAATGTTTCTAGTACGAATTTTGTTTACATGGAGCATGTCTTCATGCTAAATTATCGCTGGTTCGAATTATGTTCCACATGGAGTATGTCGTTGCGTTAAAATATCTCTAGTTCAAATTATGTTTACACATGAATTATGTTCTTTTGTTCAAATGTTCCTAGTTCAAATTAAGTATATACTTGTAGCATATCATTGTGTTAAAACGTTCCTAGTTCGATTTTTTCCACATAGTGCATGTCGTTATGTTAAAATGTCTCTAGTTCGAATTATGTTTACACATGGAGCATGTTGTTGTGTTAAAATGTTTCTAGTTGAAATTGTAATTACACGTGGGGCGTGTCATTGTGTTAAAATCTCCCTACTTCGAATTATGTTTACACATGAAACAGGTTGTTATGCTAAAATGTCCATAGTTCAAGTTTTATTTACACATGGAGCATGTCGTTGTGTTAAAATGTCTGTAGTTCGAATTATGTTTACACATAGAACATGTAGTTGTGTTAAAATATCTCTAGTTCGAATTATGTTCACACATGGGGTATGTTGTGTTAAAATGTCTCTAGTTCGAATTATGTTCACACATGAAGCACGTTGTTGTGTTAAAATCTTCCTAGTTCAAATTGTATTTACACGTGGGGCGTGTCATTGTGTTAAAATCTCTCTACTTCGAATTATGTTTACACATGAAACATGTTGTTGTGCTAAAATGTCCATAGTTCAAGTTTTACTTCGAATTTTATTTCCACATAGATCATGTCTTGGTGTTAAAATATCTCTAGTTCGAATTATGTTTACACACGGAGCATATTGTTGCGTTAAAGTATCTCTGGTACAAATTATGTTTACACATGAAGCATGTCGTTGTGTGTGTCTGTGTTTGTTTGTTTTTTTTTGTAAAACAATAGATGCTGGCTTTTTCTCTTTCACACTTCTCCAGAAGGAAGTATTTTTGTATGTCCTTTATATCTCATTGATCTCATCAAAGACAGTTTTTTTTCAAGACCTGTCTTGCTAAGGGAGAGTCATTATGAAAATATATATTATCGAGATGTTATTATTGTTGTCTGTCACTTAAAAGCGTCGTCAAGCCAAACTAATATTTGATTACAAAAGGACATTGGGCTCACGTATGGAACGTTTTTTTTTTTTTCTGAAGATCTATCCAGCCTTACACCTGATTTTTATTTATGTTAGAACATAAAGGAATCAACTGCAAACAATACACAAATCTATTTATTTCTGCTTCGATTATCATGTCAAAATTGAAGTGAATCGGCGCTTTCTCAACCTAGAGTGTAGTTGGTAGTTTTTACTTTTGAAGTCTGACTCCAATTTTAAAACCTACCTATCATAATACTGTTCCACCTAATTCCATACAAATCATATAATTATTGTTTTAGATAAATGATGACCGAACTTATGGAAGGATGTTTAAACAAAGTTCATACAAACAACTAGTGTTATTGCATATGGTTTGCTAAAATTTGATATCAAAAACGACTCAACCTTTATTATGGATTCTGTTTGAAAATATTAATCAAATTAACCTTCACATTAGGCGATGGATGTGTTTTTTTCTCTCTGACTAAGAATTTTTGTGATAAAAATAGCATATTATTATTATTATTATTATATTACGTTTTAAATGGACAAATTGATTAGTCCATTATCAAATAGCCTTCTTCATTTCACCTTTACGTAGGCCTAAATTATCGCTATATATCCTATATCGCTATATTAACTCCAAACAAGTTAAAACATTAACGTTTATAATGATAGAATTACTCTGAGAATGAAGGTGAGTTCAAGACAAAAGTTGATGTTTACAGGTTTCCCTTTTACTTTTTAAAACTAATAATTATTGTACTGAAAATAACAAGGAATTTTTTTTCGCAGAATTGTTAAACTTTTGTCAATGAGATATATATACATATAAGTATATACAGGTACATTATTTATAAGCGTTATGTAAGTAAGTTTGCAACAAATAATCTTACAAATTATAATTTATAAAGAGACAAATGCCCATGTTTTAAATCATGAACTTACGTGTATAAGTTTATTTCTGAAATAAACACTATCGGTATTTCAGTTTTTTTAATTTCATCCGTTCTCTAATTTTAATCTGTCACTTAAAAAAATATTTATTTTTATCATCTACTAAAACACTGTAGCTTATCCACCGAGATTTGGCTACCAGAAACCTATTGCTGGCGAAGGGAAAAATTGTAAAGATCTCTGACTTTGGACTCAGCCGTGATGTTTACGAAGGTGAAACTTATCTAAAGAGGAGCACAGTAAGTCTTCATCAAACTCGTTATACACTTTTATACGTGTCTCCACACTACAAAGAGATTTTTTTTATAAAACTTTTAGCATAGGTAATGCAGTGGTTAGGTTTAGAGAGTTAAACTTGCTTGTAGTTTTACTTTGTTTCCTTACAGTATTTTGACCGATATTATTTGTATATTTTTCATTTATCACGAGATAAATTTCATCTGTTTTACAGAAATTGATTTTTCTTTTTCTCAGCTGTTAGATTATTTTTGATTTTTCTGTTGTGTCACAAGTTAACATTTATTGAAAACTTTATGTTCAGTGGTCACATGATAGGATCGTATTAACATATATTGTTGTTTAGTGGTCACATGATAGGATCGTATTAAAACAAATTGTTGTTTAGTGGTCACATGATAAGATCGTATTAAAACAAATTGCTGTTTAACGGTCACATGATAAGATCGTATTAAAACAAATTGCTGTTTAGTGGTCACATGATAAGATCGTATTAAAACAAACCGTTGTTTAGGGATCACATGACAGGATCGTATTAAAACAAATTGCTGTTTAGCGGTAACATGATAGGATCGTATTAAAACAAATTGCTGTTTAACGGTCACATGATAAGATCGTATTAAAACAAATTGCTGTTTAGCGGTCACATGATAAGATCGTATTAAAACAGATTTCTGTTTAGTGGTCACACCAGTTTCTTCGTGTATGCGACGGTTAAATGAATACGGTGTGAAAGCAACTTATATACGAGTTAGTTGTGTCGCTTATCCAGAAGCAAATATTTTTTGATTATGTAGCGTATCGTTGGTTGGGCCACGTAGACAGCTTTTGCCACTGACCTGTGTGTTCGTGGAATCTCACCTGTTACAAGACACTGAACTTTGCTTACTTACCTTGTTTTATGTCTCTTAGTGAGTGTTTCCCTAGTGGATCCATATTATTTTGTTTTCTAATGTCATCAATTATAAGAGACATCTTCGTCTTGGAAAATCTAAATATCCAATCTGAACACATCTTTATAATCTGAAGATATGATTATTTTAGTTCGAAAAGGGCTGTTACATATCCTTCCCAAAAAGGTAGTATCACACTACATACGCAATGTACTATAAACGGTAGTATCACACTACATACGCAATGTACTATAAACGGTAGTATCACACTACATACGCAATGTACTAAATCAGAAGTACATTAGTACATTGCGTATGTAGTGTGATACTACCGTTTATAGTACATTGCGTATGTAGTGTGATACTACCGTTTATAGTACATTGCGTATGTGGAGTGATACTACCGTTTATAGTACATTGCGTATGTGGAGTGATACTACCGTTTATAGTACATTGCGTATGTAGTGTGATACTACCGTTTATTAACAAGTTTGCTACATTGTCAAGTTATAGCAGTGGGTCATATTCCCAAGTAAGGGTATCCAGATACAGATGTAAGCAACTCCCTTACTGACATACTGTATACTTTGACCTACTACTTAATATACTATAAACTGACTGTGAAACAAGTGAAATGTTCAAGCTAAATGTTGACATTAGCTTTAGAGCAGAATCATCGCATGGACAAAAAGTACTGAATTTTATACTGTAGTACATGTTATTGTAAACTGTGTGTCTTCAGTGTTTAAAACTGTTTTGTTGATCTGTAGGGTTGAGTACGTTATATTAAAACGACTTTGAATGCGCAAAGTCCCATGACAACCACAACAAATATGAAGTCTCGATGGAACAAAATGTTCGTACATATGAAGATGATAAACTTTGGAGTAAAGTAAAATCAGTTTAAGCCCTTTTACAAAAAAAAATGCTTTGACTCTTAATACAAGGGTTAGTTAAGTATCGATGAAGCTTATTGTAAATCACAATCTGCCTATATTAGGAAAGGTATCCAATCTTCACAAATGAAGTTACTAGGTAAAAATAGATTTTGCATACAATATTTTCTTTCGCAGCTTCTGACTGGTTTGTTTATTTTGAATTTCACGCAAAGCTACTCGAGGGCTAACTGCGCTAGCCGTCCCTAATTTCGAAGTGAAAGACTAGAGGGAAGGCAGCTAGTCATCACCACCCACCGCCAAATCTTGGGCTACTCTTTTACCAACGAATAGTGGGATTGAGCGACACTTTATAACGCCCCCACGGCTGAAAGGGCGAGCATGTTTGGTGGGACGGGGATTCGAACCCGCGATCCTCAGATTGCGAGTCGAGCGCCCTGACCACCTGGCCGTTATTGGTTGATATTTAGTTATGGTTTTATGGTTAATAGAAAAATGAGTAGTGATTTTGATATTGTGTCAACACATCTTGGCTGGAAGTATACTGTACCATAAAACAACAACAATAGAAACTGATACTACATTTTGACTTTACAACATATAGACAAATCCTTAGAAAGATTCTCTCCAACAGAAAACCAAGCCACAGCATTTCTTTAAAGAATGTTTCACGAAACTTGAAAGATGAGATATTTTGAGAATCTCTACCTAACTTATGCGTAAGATTTTTGTTTACCACATTGGTGGCATACATTAAGCACTGAAACTATAAGGTGACGTCATATGATGTTCATTATATTAAAATTTTTATAAAATAAGGGTTTGGTAAAGTTTTACTTTTTAATTTAGGGAAGAGTTCCAGTAAAATGGATGGCTATTGAATCACTAGAAGACAACTTGTACACTTCTAAAAGTGACGTGTAAGTGAAGTTTTATTTCATATAAATGATGTGTATTTGCAGATAAGTCTTGTAACAGTGAGAAAATAAATTTGAAAATCCTAACTGATTGTGTAAAGAATGTGTTGTTAAAAAATATAATAGGCCTAATAGTAATGTCTTAAGACAAGCATAATTAATTATAATCCTGTTTCGACAGTTAATATAAGGCGTTTACACCATAATAATTGTTATTACAACAAATGGCTTATATAAATAGTGTTCCGACCACTAGCGTGTTTATTGTGCCTCATCTAGCCCGTTGATCTCTGTATTGAGCAAAAAGCGTCGGCGGCAGTGTATATGGCAGACATGGTGTGGTTGAAATACTATTATTACATGTTCTGTTCTTCTTCTTAAAAAGCCTTAAAGGAGTGAATAAAGAATGTAGTGTTAAAATAAATAATAGGCCTAATACTAATGTCTTATGACAAGTGTAAATTAATTAACTTGCAATTTAAATTTTATGAAACAGTATACGCATTTTTAACTGGTTCGCTCTTGTTTATTTATACATCATTTAATCATCTGTTAATGTTGTTAGTGTATCTTGCTTCTCAGTTCATTTTATCATTTAAAGAAACTTTAACTTCTTGATTAATAAATGTATTTTTGTAGATGGTCGTTTGGAGTCGTGTTGTGGGAAATTTCAACATTAGGTAGGAATTAACGTTTGTATTTTTAACTACTGCTATACATTATTAAGAAGTTGATTTAATTTTGGATATACAATGCTAGAAAAAAAAACTGATACACTACATAAATATGTTTTCTCACTAAGAAACAGTATAAGAATCAATAACTAAAATTTATGTTAGGCCTGATTCGTGTTAGGTACACTTTTAACCACACGCGAACGTCTTTTCTACAGCTAGAACAATAACCATATATATTACGGTGGAACGATAACTGTTCGATAATATTGTACAAAGCTATCAATTTTAAGATTGATAGAACTTCTCAATATATGCATTTCGTACGCTATTGTGTAAATCAGCGACTAGACATGACCTAATATAAAATATTTTGAACAATATTTTTGTAGGCTTAGTTTGTTTTTTAAATTTACACATTTGTATTATTGTTTTGCAAGTGGGAAGTGTTGACGTCACTTGATGAGCGTGGTTTAATGCTTATAATCTTCTTGGAGGCTCAAGCTGTCGATTGATTATTGTGTAAGCGAGTTAGTTCAGTTTTGTAAATATTGTTGTAAAGAACAAACAGTGATATGAGAAGTACTATAGATTCAGAAAACGTAAGTGAAATTGCTGTTTAACATTTTCAATAAACTTAGACCTATCAGCGAACAATAGTTAAGCTAACTTCTAGAGTTGTATTAGTCTTTGCATTCTTCTTTGTACCGAATAATTCGAATGAACCAATTCATCGGTAGAAAACTTTAAAACAATACCAGTTAAGCTGTCCTAAGCAGTATACTATAGTTTCTATATAACTGATATGAGTTTTCTAAAAAATGAATACATAGCATTATTATGAAAAATAGGAATTTGGAAAACATACTTGTAAGCATTTTCAATAGAAATGTCACAAATAAACGTCCATATAACGTTTCAATATTTGTAAGTTCTAGGGTTAGTGATCAAGAATTTATTCACAGAAAACTCAGATTCATTATTAAACTATTAAATATTCTACAAGCTTACTTTAGAACTAAAATATCGTAAAACCAAATCAGTTTACTTAACTGAGTATAAAATTAATAAGATTCCCTTCCACATTTTCAAACTGTTTAATAACTTCACGCCTTCTAATTGTTTTAATAAAATGCTATTTTAAGCGGAGAATAATTTTGAATATGCTCTTTCCATCATATTTAGTCTACAGTGTTGATTTCTACAAGTCATTATCATTTAACGTTTAAAATCTTTAAGAACATAAGTTAATCTAAACACGCAATTTTGGGTGAGCTATTCCAGTGTAGAAGTGTTTATTCAATTTAAACTTATATTTATAAATATTTGTCCTATACAGATGATAGGTATAATGTGTTCACTTACGGAATTAGTAAGGATAAAATGCACACATTTCTACAGTTTAACCATATACTTTGCTATACACTTTCAACTAAAAAAAAACCTATTCAATCTGGAGTTTCTGTTGCATAAAAGTTCATTGCCTGGAATTTTTTTAAGTCGTAATTTCATGGTCGGTAGAAGTTGTTTTAACGATAAATGTTTGTTTGCTCCAGCTTCCCTTACAATGTAGAAAAGGGATTGTCTTTTGTTGTTGTTCTTTCAGTTTGTCATATCAAAGCATGAAATTTATAACATTTATTTATAAAACCGTGACATTTCTACTTATAATAAAATAATGAAACATACATACTAATCAAGTATCACAAAGACCAGTATTAACAAACCTAAACTAAAATTAAAGGTACTAGCGTAGAAGATGTGCCCTAGTTAGTTAGAGAAATAATGTATGGTATATACTCTAGGGGGGTGAGATACTTTCTTGAACTTGCGGTGAATAATGAATTATGATTTACTGCAGGAGCAACACCTTATCCAGGAGTCACGCCGGAGAGACTGTTTCATTTGCTAAAGTCTGGTTATCGGATGAATAAACCGAACGCGTGTTCGGACGAGTTGTATGTAGACTGACTTGTGATTTTATTTGTAATCGTATAGTTTATTATTCCTTGTCTTATAATTAAATTGTGGGCTGTTGTTATTTGGTAAAAAAAGAAGATATTTTAATTAATCTTGATGTTATAATAAACACAAAAATGAAGTTAGTTTGGACATAATACACACACAGTTTTAATAAATATTAAAACGAAAAACAGGTAATAGAAGTATTAATTAATGTGCATATAAAACTTTCAAATCAGGTTTCAATCGAGTACAAACCTAGAAACATGATATTATTGTCTTCAAAAAAGAAAACCTATTCAAGATTTCAGTAACATATTAAAAGGTTTCCACAGTTAAATCTCCGTTTTTATAAATGAGTTCAAATTGTAGGCTGAAAACTTTGGATGAATTATATTAAATACAACGCTTAACAAGTGACTAATGAATTACCGAGTTACATAAGATCTAAAATACAACCAATGTAGCCCTGAGTCTATCTTTTTACAATGGGCAGGTACAGCATCATGCTAATGTGTTGGAAAGAAAATCCTCACGAGAGACCTTCTTTCAAACATCTTGTCAAGAAACTCGACCAGATGCTTCTCGAAACCATGGTACGTAACTCGTTAAATGCTCATCCTGTACCCTGAGTATAATTTCTCTGTACATGTTTCACGAAACTGAAAGAGTCAAATAATAAATACTTATTTGTTTTTATAGTTCCGGAAAGTCAACCTTGAAGAAATTTGAATTATAAAATTAAATAATTAAAAGTTCAAAAGAATACCAAAAAAATCCCAATTAAGATCAAAATCAACATTTTACATAATGCTAACGCAACATTTCACTTCCACCTTCCAAATTTGCTTAATTAGGTTTATGTTAAATTCAACCAGTGCTTTAATTTGCTATCAGATTTTATATTCCGTATATTTGTATATTGTTTGAAGCAGTTTTCATCTGGTACCATTATTTTTCGTAATAGTATTCTCATACTTTAACACCTAGTTACCTAGTAATGATGATGACAGAACCTTGTCGAAACGTTGTACATTTGCTGTTATGTTAAACTTATATTAAAGTTTTCTTCATTACTCATTCAAGCTGTTTCCAAGCGTTATTTGTCTCAAATTGGTTCCTCGTCATCGAATTTTAATTCCCCTATATATATATTTAAATTTTCTAGCCATGTCACTTGGTAAAACACAATATGATATAATCTTTTAATAAAGGAATATTTGGAGCTAAAACTAGGACCAGACACAGATTCACTCAACTGGACCGAAGGTGATCATTCTTCTGTGATATCCGATTCAAGCGAAGAAGAAAGTGGTAATTTTTTAAAAAAACACCCTCTTGAAACTTGTTATTGATACTGAAATTTTTATTCTACGTAATTTATATTAATTATTGCAAGTAACCTGTGCTGTTAAATTATGCTATTGTGACCGTGTGTGACAATGTTAATTACTTCCCTTAGTTAAATTATGCTACTGTGACCGTGTGTGACAACGCTAATTACTTCCCTTAGTTAAATTATGCTATTGTGACCGTGTGTGACAATATTAATTACTTCCCTTAGTTACATTATGCTATTGTGACCGTGTGTGACAATTTTAATTACTTCCCTTAGTTACATTATGCTATTGTGACCGTGTGTGACAATGCTAATTACTTCCCTTATGATACTTATAATGCCCAGCGTAATTGAGATTTAACCATGAAATTTACTTGCGTAGTGGTAGATGAATTTTCTTTTCGGATGTTTGATAGGTAAATGAACAGATTGATGAATTTTTAATTTTTCTTGATTTAAATATATGTTGTTCCCTTCTTTAAAAATGAAGTGTCTTGGAAGAATTTTCGTAACATCTTTTCAGAGCCTTTTATAATTTTCCATAGATGGCGCTGTAATTGAGTACGGGAAATTAACCCTCTGTCCTCCAGAGAACCTAGCTTAGCATCATCAGTATGTTCTACTGGGAAGATGAAAAACTTGCAAGGTTTTTTTCCATGAAAACAGTAATAATAATAACAAATAACGCTCTCAGTCATGTCAATATTACTAAAGCTTAACTAATATAAAAGAAAAAAATATTTCACCATGTTGTGATGATTGTCATGTACATTTTATTTTCATGTTTCACATTAAAAAAATTATTTCTATTTTAGAAGACATGGTTTAAAAGTTGAAACATTAATAACATTTATGCAAATGTGCAATGATCAGACTCCTGAAAGATTGTTTATTATTATTATTATTAGTTAAGTAGTATATTTGGACTGATATTAACTTTTGAAAGCAACTTATATTGAATTTTCTACAAATAAAAGTGGGAATTTTTTCTCAGTCTACTAATAATATGTTGAAGGGATGGCTATTTCATTTTTTCTAAATATCTAAGTTTTTCTTTTAATAGATTTAATTATTCTCGTGGTCAGTAGGTTGATACTCTTCGACCCAGTATTTATAGATTTTTTTTCCTCCAAGGTTGTAATAACTGACAAATTGAAAAGCTATTAGTAATAATATAGAATAAACATATTTGTTGGCGTCAAAGTACAATTTGAAAATACCTACGAATAACTAATTGTATTTCAGGGTACAATATTGAGACGTTTTTGTTTACATCAAGATGATTTTATACTAAGAACACTAATGACGATAAATGTTATTGTGTAAAATAACACGTGGTTTAGAAACAGTGGGGTTGATTAAACAGTTAACTCGTGAGTCAATAGCAGTAGTCATCTTTGTGATCACAGCAATCAGTAGAAATACTGCGAGGTCCCTATAATTTATTTAATCCTGTTAACCCTAACCTGAAATGCACTGCTTACATCTTTTCGTTATTAATTTACTATTTTAGTAGACTAGAAAAATAAAAACATTATGTCTACTTGTTGTACAATGAATTTTTTGTTGTTTTTTTTACTGTCGGTGGGAGAGGAAATTAAATAATAAGGTAAATAATAAGGAATAATAATAGATTAACGAAAGTCTACTCTCCAATAATTTACCAGTAAGGAATAATAATAGATTAACGAAAGTCTACTCTCCAATAATTTACCAGTAAATAATAATAGATTAATGAAAGTCTACTCTCCAATAATTTACCAGTAAGGAATAATAATAGATTAACGAAAGTCTACTCTCCAATAATTTACCAGTAAGGAATAATAATAATAGATTAACGAAAGTCTACTCTTCAATAATTTACCAGTAAGGAATAATAATAGATTAATGAAAGTCTACTCTCCAATAATTTACCAGTAAACCTCAAGTTTGAGGTTTGGGAAAAGGCAGAGGAAAAATGATAACCATGTTACTTTAGCATTTTACTGGGATCGGAGGGGGGAAATAAATTTTATTGTTATTGGTTTATTTTCTGGTAAATAATTCTAGATGATAAAATAGGCCCAAATTCATTTTAGGTTCATAGATTGCGTGTTTGGAAAGCAGTTACCACTATTCCGTCAAAAACACTTATTAAAATGTTGAGTTTATCGAAAATATGTAAATAAAATAAACATTATGGGTGATAAGTTGACGTAACAGTATGTGTGATGACTTTCTGAACAAAAAAAGTGTTTGGCTTGGCTGTCATTAGAAGAATTTCGTAAAATATTCAAACTAACTAAACACTCATAATTTTCATCGAATACAGCTCTTGAAGTTATGAATTTTTAGAATCAGTGTTAAAATATGTTCATGTTGTCGTATTGCATTTCAGTATATCTTGCTTTTGACAATGTGATCTCCGATTTTTTTTAAATAACTTCTGTGAAATGTCTTAATAAAACACCCACTTTAAATTGAGAAAGAAAAGAACAGACACTATGTGATGTGATTTGTTAAATTTTATCGAAAAAGCACAGAGATTTCCATATATTTGTTTTCTACGCATTTTTATAGTCAAATGTGATTTATATAAAATCTCCCTATAACTAGATGTTTCACAGTTTTGGTCGTATTTGAACCGTAAATTAACGTAATCTGGAGCAGTCAATAATGTCCTCTAGTCTAATGTTCAATATGTTTCTTGTAGGTTCAATATATATTTGTTTATTACACGTTTTCTAGGAATAATGTTATCTTTGAAGAAATGCCTGGTTTTATTAAATAATGTCTACAGTTCACCGGAAAAAAACAGTGTTGTGTTTGTGTTTCAAGATACAAAATAACCTCGAATATTTCTTGTTTCTTCATTTCATAAAGACAAAAATTATGTCACGTAGTATCAAAATAACAATATAGTAAGAATGGTTTTATTTACTACACTTTTTCTTCTTTAAATACCCTTAACGTTATATCTTTTGTTTTGTTTTCATACTATTGATGTGAACGATTTACTGAAGGGAAATTCGTATTAAAACGGTTTTTTTGTAAGAAAGCACGCTCCCTCTTAAACATTTAGATTTTTCAAACATTCCAAATTGTATTGGCATAAAACTATCGTTTAAAGTTTTACGTTTTTTGTTGTCGTTCTTTTAGAGTGTACCTGTTTGTTTTGGAGACTTTATCTGTAAACATTATTTCTCACTCATTTACTATTGTCATCAGGATATTTGAATAACTTAGCAAGGTAGACAACTGGAGGGTGTGTAAAAAATTTATATCTTAATAATTAATGGTTTGTTCATTGTTCTACTGAAGCATTACCGTCTGATGTTTATAAGTTCTGAGCAGTAGTATTGTCGAATAAAAATCCTAGCCTCCAGAGAATGGTGTGTATTCATTTATATAGAAAAAAAGTATCCAAACGGCTTAAGTAGCACTTTAGTTGATATTAAATTACGAAAACGCCGCACTTTTTATTCTCTAAGACAACATAATTTGTTAACACAATTAACAAATAAAGCAGTCTTTAATTTACGCGTAATTATATGCTATGTTTTTTGTTTGTTTGTTTAGTATAAGGTACAAAGGTGCCACATTGGGCTATCTGTTCTTTCCCTACCGCGGGTGTCGAAATACGATTTTTAGCGTTATGAACCCTCATACTTACCGCTGACCTTCAAGAGGGTATATGTCACGTATTCAAGCACCCTCTTTAAATTGGGAAAGAGAAAAGAAAAGAACAAAAACTAACAATGTTAACCTATAAACCCGGCTTCGCTCTATAAATATGGTCTAAAATCTCATGCCCACTGGTGGCTCAGCAGTATGAGGTTTTATAACACACACAAAAAAAAAATAATAATAACTAAAACCACGTAATCATACACCGCAAACAATACTGTTCTAGTATATATACTTCAATTTAATGGTTTTACTGAATATCTTACCTAAAATTGAGTTTTACTTTGTATATTTCTAAAAGTAATGAAAAGCACCAAAAGAAATTATACTTTCAATTCATAACAGATAATTATTGAAAATAGATAAACCTTCTAAAAGCAGATAATAATCTGTATCTTGTTCATTTTTTTTAAATATAAGTTTTCATTTTTTATTCCGTTACACCACTAAACTATTGTTCTGTAAAATCAAATAAACAAATAAAGTTAATCGGAGAAATCAATGATGCAACAAACTTCACGAGAGTTTTTAGAGAAAAAAGTAGTTCATAGGTAATATAATTCGCATTTGAAAGGTGCATTGACTTTAATTCTTAAAGATTTTTAAGGTACAAAGTTTTCGACTAAATTTACTCCAATTAAACTTAATAAGGGGGATTCTCTCAACACGCGTCGTGAATAAAAGTAAGTGTCGTTGGATGATTTTCCAATACAAGATTTCAATTAACGAGTACTATAATCGAGTTTATTACTACTAAGTATATTTGGTTTTGTTAAACACAAAGCTTCACAATGGGCTATGAATGCTCTGCTTACCTCAGTATTGAAACCCTACTTTTAGGGTTATAAGCCCTCAGAGTTACCGCTGAGAGACTGGTGGGCGACTGTTAAGTAATTAAATAACCCTAGCTGTATTACAGTCTACGAGTAGTATAATCGGCTTCATGACTGTTAAGTAATTAAACAAGCCTTGCTGTATTACAGTCTACGAGTAGTATAATCTGCTTCATGACTGTTAAGTAATTAAATAACCCTAGCTGTATTACAGTCTACGAGTAGTATAATCAGCTTCGTGACTGTTAAGTAATTAAATAACCCTAGCTGTTTTACAGTCTACGAGTAGTATAATCAGCTTCATGACTGTTAAGTAATTAAATAACCCTAGCTGTATTACAGTCTACGAGTAATATAATCTGCTTCATGACTGTTAAGTAATAGAATGATTTTGATACACCTTCATGTATTATTGTCTACCAAGTTTCGTGTTTTAAATCAATTTACGCTGCTAAAACATCATGTGGATTATATTATACGGATAGAGACATTAAAGTATGTCATGTGAAAAATTTTGAGCTTCATTAATTAATTAGGAAATCCTACAGAATATACTTTATTATTCAGGGCATTAATTCGAACTAGTTATCAATGGTATATAAACAACTATCAGATAGACAAAGGTATAAAGTGAAGCTCTTCCCCCTCCCTCAAAGTGTTGGAAGTATAAGAAAACATATTTTTTTTCCAAATTATCGATTCTGAATTATATATGTACATTTAGATATATATTTATAGACGCAGACAACCATATAACTTTTTAAAGATATTCAGATACTTACTTTACTGAAGGTTATGTGGTAGCTTCACAATCCCAATGTAATTTCATTCAGTATTCAGACATGCACGAATGGTTATTAAAGCGGGTTTAATTATTTGGAACAGTATTAAACTTTTTAATATTGACACCATCATTTTTATTTTACCGCGCCTATCCTGATAATAGTATTGGATATCGTAACAGTTAGGGAATGTTTTTTTGTTGTTATGGCAATAGAACTGAATCTTCCAAAAACCGTATAATCATTAGTATCCAAAAATTGCATTTTTTTATCACTAAAGTGTATGACATCGCAGCTGGAGGATGTGATTTCTTTAGTTATAGTCTCCAATCTTCAGGCCAGACGTACCTCGGTCACTTGAAAGGGATATACAAATTACTCAGCTCACCAGATTTGGTAAATTATACTCAGAATTTTAAGGTTTTTATATCTTATTTTAAACATTTTTCTAATTAAATTTT